TATGCCCAACAACTGTATATATAGTTTTGGGGTGGGGATCTAAACCATTTCGTAGTTATGACCCAGGGGTTAAGTCTCCAAGGGTGGGGCAGTCCCCAAGGCCATCCTGGAAGCATATGTGCAATCATCTCTTTATACTCAGCAATTGCATATACGATTATAGGGTGGGGCTCTCAACTGTTTCCAAGCTGCGACTAACAAACTAGGTCCCTAGGGGTTCGGTCAGACCCCAGGGTCTATTCTGATATCAAGACTGCATTTGTCTTTTTATGCCCAGCATTTGTATATATAGTTTTGGGGTGGGGATCTCAACAGTTTTAAAGTTATGGCCCAGGGACTATGTCTCCAAGGGTGGGGCCAGACCCTATAGCTATCCTGGAAGCAAATGTGCATTCTTCTCTTTTTACTCAACAATTGTATACCATAATTATATGGTGGGGATCTCAACCATTTCCAAGTAACACACTTTTTTTGGCCCCATCCCTTAGCCCGGGGGGTCAGCCCCACCATTTGTACAATTTTGAACACCTGCCTACCATGAATGCTTCCGACCAAATATGATCAATATCCATGGCATAGTTCTACAGAAGAAGTCGTTTATAGCAATATAGCCAAATTGCCCCCCTTTTGGCCCTTCCCTCAGCCCCCTGGGGGGCTCAGTCCCACCATTTGTACAATTTTGAATCCCCACCACCTAGGGATGTTTCCAGTCAAATATGGTTGATATCCGTGACATAGTTCTACAGAAGAAGTTGTTTGTAGCAATATAGCCAATTTGCCCCCTTTTGGCCCCGCCCCTCAGCCCCCTGGGGGGTCAGCCCAACCATTTGTATAATTTTGAATCTCCACCACCTAGGGATGCTTCCAGGCAAATATGGTTGATATCCATCTCTCAGTTCCAGAGAAGAAGTCGCTGAAAGCCACCTAGGGATGCTTCCCCCTTTTTGCCCCGCCCCACAGCCTCCTGGGGGGTCAGCCCCATCATTTGTACAATTTTGAATCCCCACCACCTAGGGATGCTTCCAGTCAAATATGGTTGATATCCACTTCTTGGTTCCAGAGAAGAAGTTGCTTAAAGCAATATAGCCAAATTGACCCCTTTTGGCCCCGCCCCTCAGCCCCACCACCTAGGGATGCTTCTAGTCAAATTTAGTTGAATTCCAATCAGTGGTTAAGAAGAAGAAGTCGTTTAAAGAAATTGTTGACGGACGGACAACGAATGCAACGGTATGGCATAAGGTGAGCTAAAAATGTGATGATTTTATTTTCAGATTTTCTATATAAAATTCGGCCAGGGTGTCTTCTTTGAGGTGCAAGTTTTGTGTATTTCTTTGGGAAACAGGGTTGAAAATATAATGTTTTATTCTGTTTTACATATTACAAACATTGTCATGTTATATGTAATTTAAATGTGCTGAAGCATTTTGTTAAATGCTGTGGAAATATTTCTTCCCAAAATTATTTGGGCCACCAATGTCATTTTGGCCAGTGCTTCAAATTTTTTTACTCGCCCCAAAGATTTTTTTTTGAGCCAGCCAATGCAGGTTCCCCACTATCCTTTATTGTTCATGTTTACTTTTGAAACTGATCGGTTAAACAAAATGGCCTACCGACAGCCATCTTCGATTTTTGACATTGAAGGTTTGTCAGTACCATTTCTCAGGAATAACTTGACAGATCATTTCTCAAATTTGATATGTAGGTTCCCCTTGATCCCTTGTTGTGCATGTTATATTTTGAGACTGATCATAAAAACAAAATGACTAAAGGAAGAACTAGACAGATCTTTCTCATATTGCAATGATCGATTCTATTTCTTTTACTGTACTAGTAAATATGTGAAATGACAAACTCACTTTGAAGGTTGGCTTTCATACACATCAGTATTAAGTTTAGATCAAAAGTTACCTCAAGGTGCATTTACTGTTAACATGACTCGATCAAACAGATTAGAGGAAAGAAGAAAAAAGATCGAACTGACAAAGAGCTAATGAAGATGGTACAATGGTGGGCACCAAGATCCCTCTGGGATCTCTTTTTTTTTTGAATAGGTTGTTTATTCACCAAAACAGAACTTCAAAACACACTTCATCTATGTAGTTTAATTCAAGATGAATGACAACAAATGGAGCATGCCAAAGAGAAGTTAACAAAGCCATGGGACTAATGGTGGTATCAGTGTTTACTGGGTATAAGGTCAGCATCGGACAACAGGCATATGATAAAACACAAAAAGTTTTGACCATAACAGAAGATTTATGGAATTTAGATAAATAAACAAAAAATACAGTTAGTAATTTCATTCGCCTATTTGTTATCTAAGTCAACACAGACTTTGTTGAATTTTAAATGTTGCCTTTGAATTACTCAGAAATGTCAAAATAAGAAACTTGACTAACTACACAGAAACCAGCTAGGGAATGGTGTTATTTAGTAATATGACAGAACAACAGTGACATATGTAAGAGGAAATAAAGTCGGTAGAGCGATGACAAAGTTTTTCTAGAAATAGTAATAGTGCTTTGACCTTCAACGTCGAAATCCGAAACGCATATTTGTTTAAGGTATAGTACCAATACTACACACTTGTATGAAGTTTCATGAAATTCCGTAGAGGAATGAAGACGCTAGAGTGATGACAATGAGTGTAACATATGTACGTAAGGGCGGAATCCTATATCCCCTTGAACTTTCGTTGCGAGGAGATAATAAGCAATATCGTACCACCGGATATTATTTTTACACATAAAAACTGCTTCATGTAAAACCAAAATAGTTAGTCTTCTTCACCTACAAATAGGTAGCAAGCCTGTCGCTCATCTTGTCTTTGAATCAGACATGCCACTTACTTAGTAATAGTGTGGAACAATTTTAACATGGTGGTTTGACTTTTTGACCTCAAAATAAATCAAATACCTGGCCCTGAAATCACAAAACCTCAAAATATTTATGAATTTAAGTTTAGAAATCATCTTTTGACATTAAACAGTGAATGATTTGAAGAAATACAAACTCTAGTACATTGGAGAGGAAGTGTAAAACTAAAGAATTTTTAGTTAAGAACATTTCTTGACATATCAACATATTTAGGACTGAATGTGGCAAGCACAAGCAACAAGAATCTGTCAATATGATCATTATTTAATTGATACATGATCATTTCATTATCATATCCAACAGTAACAATATACAGGAGATACAAGTCTTTGTGTACATTTCAGAGACATTGTTCTACCTGACACAAGACGTTAACAAAAGTTTTATAAAAGTTCCACAAGACATAAGGTTTTTACATATCTTTTCTCCCAAATTCTTCTGCCATAAAGGTTTTATACAAGTTCCCAAAGTTCCACAAGACTTGAGACTTTTACACAAGTTTTCCCACATTCCGTGTGACCCATGACTTTTACATGTATTCCTCACACGTTCTTCTGTCATGAGACTTTTACACAAGTTCCTCTGATAACTGGGACAATAGGTCATCACTCAGGTCTGTCAAAAAGAAAAGAATTTGTTATAATGGTCACATTTACCGATATAGGATACAATGAAAACATAGCAATACATGTATTTACCTTTAACTTAAGGCCACCTAAAATTTGACTCCCGTTTACATTATCCTAGTATATTGTCTGCATTCCATGAATAGGAAAATTCTCAGTGATTTTCTTACATTAAATTATCAACATTAACAGTGTTCTACATGCATATGTCTGATCATGAGTATATATAGAAGTAAAGCTTGTAATAATTCATTAAATATCTCATCCTCGATACTCCAGGGGTTACGCTCACTTTTGCTCTCCGACCCCTGGAATGTATCATAGCACAACCGAAGGCATGCTGCTAGCTGTTTGATTGGCCTCAGGTAAACAAAAACATGACCAATTGCTAGCCGGATACCTGTCCTTTAAAGATTACCGAGGAGCTACAACCGACTTCAAAGCCAGTCAATTTTACTGTTAAGTGACCGCAAGATTCCTTTGATGTACATCAAACTCAAAGGATTAAACTAGCCTTCTTGTCTCATCCACAAAGAAGGCGCAGTCTGAGCCTTCGATTTTGCTATGTTATATTCCAGGGGTGTGAAGGGTGAAAGTAAGCGTAACCCCTAGAGAATCGAGGATGTAAATATCTAGACTGAAACAGTACAGTTATGCAATGTATATATATATCAATCAGTTCTGGGTTATTTCGCACCAGATTTTATAGGTGACAAACATGCAACTATACATGCAATGGGATCTTAATGCAGATTTCTCTTCAAAGTTTCCTAATAATTATATAATGCATCAGTGACATAATAGGAACCCAAAAGTTTGAGACATTTATTTAACATCATATATAATGGTAAGTATAGTGACATTAGACATTATATATATTAAATGTTTTATATGCTAACTTAATAATATCTGATAAATCTCTCCTGAATCGAAAAACTTTTGTTGGATCCAACCTTAATATATCAAACTTAATATATATATGTATACAATTAGAAGTTACTCTAGACTTAATATAAAGGATATTTCCCACAAAAATATTTTCAACATCTGACAGCAACAACTCACCATCTTGCCATAGACTTTCAACTCCATTATTAGACTCCTTCAGTAAATCAGGCATGCTGGGAACTGATCCTATGATGGTGCTGCCACCTGGTGCAAAACTTCCTGGTTTCTGTCCCATAGATGAACCCAGAGAATTGTCAGGGGAGGTAAGAGACTTTGTTGACTTGAACTTGAATCCTTTTCTGTTGGGTGTATTAACAGCTGATGATGTTGTGTTAGTGGGACTTACACGGGTAGTACTAACATTGTCACTGTTAGTGTTTACACTGGCACAACCTGTAGTTATTTTACTATGTTGAGCACTAATGGACACAGCACTAGAACTGGACACACGACACCGACCAGTCACATGACTATTTGTTAAAGGTGATGGTGACACATCTACACCATCTGAAGATGTCCTTTCAGTGTTTGGAAATTTTGGTGTATTATAACCTGATAATACAGTTGATTTAGCTTCTGAAATTCTTAAGTTTGACTGATTACCTTCAAGTTGGTTTTCAGGTCTGAAAGTATTTTGTCCTGGGTTTTGTGGTTTAAATCTGTAGGGATTAGTTACACCTGGTGTGGTAGGAGTTACTGACCCAGGTGTTGCCCCTCCCTGGGGAATGCTATTTCCAGGTGCTGAACCTCCCTGTGGAGTGCTATTCCCCGCTGTTGTCCCTCCCACAGGAATCCTATTACCAGGTGCTGCCCCTCTCTGGGGAGTCCTTTGTTGATGATCAGGCGTTGAATATCTCTGAGGGGTAAAGTTCTGGTCAGTTACATTTTGTGGAGTGTAGGGTCCAGTCTTTGATAAACTCACTCCAACTGGTGTTCTTGTGACCCCTACCCCCGACATGTTTGCTCCATTATTCCCCGGAATAACACTTTGACCTGGTCCTCTTTGTGGAGTGAAAGATCCTGTCCTTGATACCGACGCCCCTTGTACTCCTGATAACCCTATCCCTGGGGTTCTGGCTCCAACAGGGTAAGACTTTGGTGGTGTCACACTATTATTTTCAACATTACCTACATTGAATCTCGATTGTGGAGTTCTATTGTCTGGTGTTCCCATATTGAACCTCGATTGTGGAATCCTGATATCTGGTGTGCCCATATTGAGCCTCGATTGTGGAGTTCTAAAATTTGGAGTCCCCATGTTGAACCTCGATTGTTGATTCCTGATATCTGGTGTCCCCATGTTGAGTCTCGACTGTGGATTCCTGATATCTGGTGTCCCCATGTTGAGCCTCGACTGTGGATTCCTGATATCTGGTGTCCCCGTGTTGAGCCTCGCCTGCGGATTCCTGATATCTGGTGTCCCCATATTGAGCCTCGACTGTGCAGTGTTGGTCCCTGGCCTCTGTGGGGTAAGTTCGGCCATCATCTCCCTCTCTAGATCCTTTAGGACTGTGGGCAGTGCTTTATCTTTGTCCACAAACCGAAGTCTAGTTAGACCTTCTGACTTATTACTGTACACACAAACAACATTGGCGGGAGTGATATTTAGGTAGTGGTTTCGTGACGTAGGGCTGATAACGCTCACCTGGAGAAAAATATAACCTGTTAGTGATAAATATCCCTCACTTATTGCTGATGCACAATCATTAATTCAGAAAGGGAACAAAAGATTTCTACCAAACATGCAAAATTAATGCACATAGTGTTTTAATAACCTTGTTATTAAACCTGCACAATTTGATTTGCATTTAAAATACATATTTTCTTGTATATTTCATAAATCTAAATAAACTTATTGAATATTGGCATTATGAAAGTAAATTGCACATTAATGAAACTTTAATGTATCTAGTAAATAAGTTTAAGACATGATGTAAGTCCGAATAATTTTAATCTCAACAAAAGTTTTGGTGAGACAAATTTTATATTTCCTGTATGAAAATTTTAAACAAACTCTGATAAACTGATAAATGCATAAACTTTTAATTTCAAGTGTTTTGCTGCCACAGCTGTACTTTAATAAATTTTTATTACGATCCTCACACATTTATGTGTTACTAGATGTTCTTTATTACGTTCCTCACACATTTCTTTATTATGTTCCTAACACATTTATGTGTTACTAGATGTTCTTTATACGTTCCTCACACATTTATGTGTTACTAGATGTTTTTTTATTACGTTCCTCACACATTTATGTGTTACTGGATGTTTTTTATTACGATCCTCACACATTTATGAGTTATTAGATGTTTTTTATTACGATCCTCACACATTTATGGGTTACTAGATGTTTTTTATTACAATCCTCACACATTTATGAGTTACTAGATGTTTTTTATTACAATCCTCACACATTTATGAGTTACTAGATGTTTCTTTATTACGATCCTCACACATTTATGAGTTACTAGATGTTTCTTTATTACGATCCTCACACATTTATGAGTTAGTTACTAGATGTTTTTTATTACGATCCTCACACATTTATGAGTTAGTTACTAGATGTTTTTTATTACGATCCTCACACATGTGTTACTAGATGTTTTTTATACGATCCTCACACATTTATGTGTTACTAGATGTTCTTTATACGTTCCTCACACATTTATGTGTTACTAGATGTTCTTTATTACGATCCTCACACATTTATGTGTTATTAGACGTTTTTTATTACGAACCTCACACATTTATGTGTTACTAGATGTTTTTTATACGATCCTCACACATTTATGTGTTACTAGATGTGTTTATTACGATCCTCACACATTTACGTGTTGCTAGATGTTTTTTATTATGATCCTCACACATTTATGTGTTACTAGATGTTTTTTATACGATCCTCACACATTTATGTGTTACTAGATGTGTTTATTACGATCCTCACACATTTACGTGTTGCTAGATGTTTTTTATTATGATCCTCACACATTTATGTGTTACTAGATGTTTTTTATACGATCCTCACACATTTATGTGTTACTAGATGTGTTTATTACGATCCTCACACATTTACGTGTTGCTAGATGTTTTTTATTATGATCCTCACACATTTATGTGTTACTGGATGTTTTTTATTACGATCCTCACACATTTATGTGTAACTAGATGTTTTTTATTACGATCCTCACACATGTGTTACTAGATGTTTTTTATACGATCCTCACACATTTATGTGTTACTAGATGTGTTTATTACGATCCTCACACATTTACGTGTTGCTAGATGTTTTTTATTATGATCCTCACACATTTATGTGTTACTGGATGTTTTTTATTACGATCCTCACACATTTATGTGTTATTAGACGTTTTTTATTACGAACCTCACACATTTATGTGTTACTAGATGTTTTTTTATTACGATCCTCACACATTTATGTGTTATTAGACGTTTTTTATTACGAACCTCACACATTTATGTGTTACTAGATGTTTTTTATTACAATCCTCACACATTTATGAGTTACTAGATGTTTTTTTATTACGATCCTCACACATTTATGAGTTACTAGATGTTTTTTATTACGATCCTCACACATTTATGTGTTACTAGATGTTTTTTAGAGTATAATTTGTCTTAATTGGCCCCTGTTTAATCAACATCTCTGTCAACACCTGTCACCAGCTTTGACATGTGGTCTAAATATTGCTCTTTTATTCTGGACCCTGACTTCCCTGGAAACCGTTAATGTTTTTTTATTCATCTTGCTAGTCTCTCCACATAAGTCATTTCCAAATACAAATTATGCTTTTGACTCATTCCAAATTGGTGTAGATATTTACACATTGAAAACATTCTATTCTTAAATAAGTACAACATTTCAAAGTATATTAACTTGCTACGTTGCATTTTTACCTAACATTTATATATAGCTGACTGTATAAATGGTCGAAATATCTCAAACTCAGTTCTATCTAATTTGGACAGGTTTCACAGACTTTACTGTACTTCAATATTTCCGTTTATCAGATATCTTATAAAAAATGTTCTCAATAAAACTTAATATAAGAAGTTGTAATGTATGATAACCTGTCGCAGGACCAGCACGCTGCCAGGCTGCAAGTCGCATTCATACTCCTTCATCAGACTTTGGTGTATACTGCCCTGGATAGAACCTACTTGACAGATATAACAGTCAATTACTACAAAACCTAACAGTCAATTACTACAAAACCTACACAACAGATATAACAGTCAATTACTACAATACCTACACAACAGATATAACAGTCAATAACTACAAAACCTACACAACAGATATAACAGTCAATTACTACAAAACCTAACAGTCAATTACTACAAAACCTAACAGTCAATAACTACAAAACCTACACAACAGATATAACAGTCAATTACTACAAAACCTACACAACAGATATAACAGTCAATTACTACAAAACCTACACAACAGATATAACAGTCAATTACTACAAAACCTACACAACAGATATAACAGTCAATTACTACAAAACCTACACAACAGATATAACAGTCAATTACTACAAAACCTACACAACAGATATAACAGTCAATTACTACAAAACCTACACAACAGATATAACAGTCAATTACTACAAAACCTACACAACAGATATAACAGTCAATTACTACAAAACCTACACAACAGATATAACAGTCAATTACTACAAAACCTACACAACAGATATAACAGTCAATTACTACAAAACCTACACAACAGATATAACAGTCAATTACTACAAAACCTACACAACAGATATAACAGTCAATAACTACAAAACCTACACAACAGATATAACAGTCAATAACTACAAAACCTACACAACAGATATAACAGTCAATTACTACAAAACCTACACAGCATTATCTAATTGTTATCATAGTCATTAACAGTTAATAGGCTATTACAATCAAGCTTCACAAAAGAACTAAAGCTGCTTTTTGAGCTCTGCCTATATAAGTTGGCCCACTTCTGGTAAAGGTTTGTTCTTTAAATACAGAATATATTTGTGTCATTTGAACCGTTTCAATTGATGGATGAAATTGTCCTTTGTGACTATTTTTCTGCACCATGGTAAATAAGTGTTTGAGAACTTTGTTGCATATGCATTTAAAAATGTAGTGATGATACAGAGAGGAAAAGCTGAGACATGCCCAGTAATTGTATTTGAACCTGTGTAATGTATGTTACCTGACTTGTATCTGAACCTGTGTAATGTATGTTACCTGACTTGTATCTGAACCTGTGTAATGTATCTGAACCTGACGTGTATCTGAACCTGTATAATGTATGTTACCTGACTTGTATCTGAACCTGTGTACTGTATGTTACCGGACTTGTATCTGAACCTGTATAATGTATGCTACCTGACTTGTATCTGAACCTGTGTAATGTATGTTACCTGACTTGTATCTGAACCTGTGTAATGTATGTTACCTGACTTGTATCTGAACCTGTGTAATGTATGTTACCTGACTTGTATCTGAACCTGTGTAATGTATGTTACCTGACTTGTATCTGAACCTGTGTAATGTATGTTACCTGACTTGTATCTGAACCTGTGTAATGTATGTTACCTGACTTGTATCTGAACCTGTGTAATGTATGTTACCTGACTTGTATCTGAACCTGTGTAATGTATGTTACCTGACTTGTATCTGAACCTGTGTAATGTATGTTACCTGACTTGTATCTGAACCTGTGTAATGTATGTTACCTGACTTGTATCTGAACCTGTGTAATGTATGTTACCTGACTTGTATCTGAACCTGTGTAATGTATGTTACCTGACTTGTATCTGAACCTGTGTAATGTATGTTACCTGACTTGTATCTGAACCTGTGTAATGTATGTTACCTGACTTGTATCTGAACCTGTGTAATGTATGTTACCTGACTTGTATCTGAACCTGTGTAATGTATGTTACCTGACTTGTATCTGAACCTGTGTAATGTATGTTACCTGACTTGTATCTGAACCTGTGTAATGTATGTTACCTGACTTGTATCTGAACCTGTGTAATGTATGTTACCTGACTTGTATCTGAACCTGTGTAATGTATGTTACCTGACTTGTATCTGAACCTGTGTAATGTATGTTACCTGACTTGTATCTGAACCTGTGTAATGTATGTTACCTGACTTGTATCTGAACCTGTGTAATGTATGTTACCTGACTTGTATCTGAACCTGTGTAATGTATGTTACCTGACTTGTATCTGAACCTGTGTAATGTATGTTACCTGACTTGTCCTTGAGAGTAACACTAGCATCTTTCCCCAGCCACTCCAGTGTCTCTATCACCGCCATCACAAACAGAACTTTACCCCTTGGCAGCTGCTTCTTCTTTGCCTAATAAACATATAATTACAACAAGAGGCCCAAGGGCCTTAGCGGTCACCTGAGTTATATCATAGATACTGGTAGCTTTATTTTATTGTTTAGATGTGATGTGGAAATCAGCATGTAAACTAAGTGAAATACAATACTTGTCATGTCATCAAAGGATAAGAATTTGAAAATATTGGTAAATGTTCCCTTTGGGGCCCCGCCCTAGCCCCTGGGGATGGGGCAGGAATCCTAATTTTACAAAGTAAAACTCTCATTTACCCAAGATGATTCTGACTAAGTTTGAGCAATTTTCTGCTGAAAATNAAGAAGTTGAAAATGTAAAAGTTTATGCACGACGCACGACGGACGACGACGGACGAAAAGCGATTGGAATAGGTCACTTGAGCAAAGCTCAGGTGACCTAATAAAGTGCTCATCTACAGTGTTATTTTCGATTATTAACTATGGTCAAAATCACCATTAAAGTAAACGCACACACAAAAGAACAGAATTTTCCTCTTCACTGCACTTCACTGGTCCCTGGTACCCCATTAAAAATGAACAGGAAATTCTTTGTGGAATAATATCAAAATAACTGGAGTTCTCTGCAATTTTTTCCCCTTCATTTCTTTTATTGCTGAGATTGTAGTTTACTGCAATTATTTTTAGAGACTCCCTTCCCCAATACCTTGTATATATATCTGACAAAAAATTATAAACTCCATTCCCTGTTGTCTAGTAAACCTGACAAGATTTTAGAGACTCTCTCCTTGGTTTCTAGTATACCAGACAGGATTTTTAAATGGCAGGGGCATACAAATTCTTCCACACCTTTTAGAAGAAAGTATCGAAGTGCCCAGACTTCCGAGTTCCAACATAAATGGCTACTTGCCTTTTGTAGGCTGGAGGCGAGGGAGAAGCGCTGAAGTGTGTCCTGTCCATCGTCCTGTAGGTCCCTCAGTAGAGTCTGCCAGGGACGGTCATTGAAAACCTCCTCTCCAGACTGGGAAGACAGGATCAAATCTGTTTTCTGAAAGACAATAGTCCTTGTTACTTTGTTACTTTGTTACTGTAAAGATACTTATGTGTAGCAATATTGTAGCTATTTCACACTTTCTCTGATGTGCTAGTTTATGTATAGCACTAACTTCAGAAGTACAGGTGATTCAAAAGACATTTGCTTCAGGAAAGAGTCGGTGTGTTAATTTAATACGTCCACACAAACATAATGATACTATGAAACATAACTGTATTACGGCAGTTTTACTAGCAGCTGATATGAAATTTCCACAAAAACGTTGAAAGCCTACTTTTAACTAAAATGAAATCCTAATATAAATATGTCAAAAGTTGAAATTCTTAAAAAAATTGTCCGGACAAGAGGAACATGCTATTTTTTTTTTTTTAATTTCACAGACTTTTGTTTCAGTTATAGAACCACTTTCAGTTTCAGCACCTACAATAGTGTTTTCTGATCGTGTTCTTACCTGTGAAATTAGCAAAAGGGAATATTTAACACATATCTATTGTTTGTCGGAAAGATCTAACATTTTACGACTGATAGAATCTTTCTTATTAATGGTGATATTTTTGTTTTGATGCAGCAACAAAATGTGTGTTTTTTTTACATAGTAAAACATGATAATAAAATTAAAATGAAACTTAAACTGACTCATATTAAAGCATATGCAATCTGTTATCAGAACTCATTTCAGACCCTATTTATATGTAAAAATACCCCGTCACACATCTTTAAGAGCAATACAATAATTCTACCTACCTCAATCACCTGTTCTGGGCTGACCACATCTTCTTTCACTTTGGATACGTTTGGACTGTCCAGCGTGTGACCTTGACCCTGTTTCCAAAAATACTCAATGTATTGAAGTGATCAATCCAGAGAAATAACATCTTGATCTCTCAATAAAAATGTTCATAACAATGCTCATAAAAGACAAATAAAGTACTTTGCCATAGACCAAAATTAGTTCATTAAAGAGACAGAGGTTCATTTAAAGATTTATCATCACCAGGGGACAAATTTATGACTTTATTTATGACTAAAGTTGGGGTTTTAGAACTTTTAAAACTTTTATAAAATGCTGTCACTTGATTTACAGTAGGAATAAGCGTGCAGCTTACAAGTCTCGGGAGGAGACCAGCTGGCCCGGGAAACTTCCTCTTTCTCTTGTTGGATGTCCTCCCATTGTTGCTGTGTGAGGTATGACCACTTCCCAAATCAGCCTCAGATACTGAAGTGTCGCCGGACGGTGTCCTCTGTCTGGTTAACAGTGGGTCCCTGGGCAGTGCTACCTCCTGTGTGAAGGGGACCAGGACTCTGGACGGCTGTGGAGGTATGTTCAGGCAAGGTCCTCGCAAGCTGTCACTCAGCATCCCTAAAATAAAACAACAGCCACTGATTGTTAACTATTTATAACAATAAATACACCACGCAAAATTAGACACACTGACCCAATAATGCTAGCTGTGATAATATTGAGTGGCTTTTAAGATAAATAGGGATATATCTTAACTTTTTTTCAAGCTAGATAGTAAAATCATACAGAAAATTAACCATGGCTATTATTTCTAGTTTCTATCACTGTACATATGCAAGAAATTTGAAACAATTTCTTCATTAAGCTGATCAGTATTTTGCATATTCTTATATAAATGCTAGTAAAATAAAATATGTGTACACATTTTATCACATTACTGTATTGTAAAGATAATTTATTCATTGAAAAGAACACAGCAAAATAATATCAATGACATATATTTGAGCTTGTAGAAATGAAGTAATCTTAAATATCCTTTGATTATAGAAGACATTTACTTTCCCTATAGTTTGGTACAAGCAGAGTTCTATAAACTGAAATAATTTGAGTTCATCCGTCTCCTTACCCTGTAATGCATACATTTGTTTCGCATAGTTTACGATCTTGTCAAAATTTTGACCAATTCCTGGCCTAAATTAGGGAAAACTCATTGACATGCCATGTAATTTGAAAAAGGAGAAATAAAAAAGGAGATCAATTTGTTTTGCAGTGGTTAAGCTTCTTGAGATAGAAATGCAAGTAATTTATCAATTTTTATTTTTTTTCATGATAAATACCTTATTTGAAATGATGCACTCATGATTCTGGGACCAGAGACCTGATTGAACAAAAAGTATTTTACAATTGTTTTCTTCTAATTGAAATTAACAAGTGACAATTAGTAGACCCTGGTAGATAGCTACAAACAGCTATAATTTAAATGGCATGATATTGTTAATTCTTCATTCGAAATAAAACTTCAAACCTTGGAAAGTATAGTTGTTTTTAGAAGCATTATGTCCTCCATCAGGATCTCTTAATGAAGACAGCACATTTTGTCCAGAGGTGATGTCTTGGTTTGGGAATTGTCTCCCTTGATTTTCTTGGGGCTGTTCAATACATCTTCTTTTGTTGAAATTATTCTGGTTGAAGCTACATGGTTGGTTTTTCTTGAACTCGGATTCAGGAATTTTGATTGGGGTTACATTTTCGTTACTGATGTCATTCAGCGGTAAATCCTGGAGAAAAAAAATGAATGTTAACAATATCCTTTTAAATATCAATATACACAAATTTACATTTTGTTTGCATTGTCCTTATGAGCACACATATCCATATGTATATTGTAAATAGCATGGTTACCCTAATACATTACCATTACAGTTGTGACATCATCATTAATGGTAATTGATACTGGAGGTCACTGGCTGATGATCCATGCTGTTCTATTTATTGAATTTTACATTCAATTTACAAGCATCACAACAGTCATATATATTAGGATTACTGACATGAATAGAAAACTTTCCATTCTGTTCCATGGTTTCATTGATAATTCGTCAACATTATATTTCTGAACTTGGTTGAACATAAACAATCTTGACACTAATTTTATTCAATTCTGAACTGTCTGAAATCCCATTCAGAATTACATAACACTGAATAGATTGTTTTTCATATGAAGACTTTTTTACATTTCTTAATAACAACAGTATACAGTCAAACTTTGTGAATACAGGCCTGGAAAAAAATCTTTGAAAGAGCAGAGCATTCTAAAAGATCATGTTTGATAAATTTATCCTAAAGGGAATGTCCTTTTTAAGAAGTATCAGTATTAGTTAGAAAGTTCTGATACATATATATTCTTTTGCAGGACAATGTTATTAAACGTAATGCTGTGTCACTCCATGCCCTGTGTCTATTAGACAACATGACCCGTGACTTATCAATTCTTATATTTGATAGGTCAATCACTCAAATCTGTATGCAGCAAGTCAGTTATTTCAGACAAGTGGGACATGAGACACTATTGACATGATTCCAAGTCAAATGTCTGTGAGTGGTGAGTGAGACTGTATTTATGGATATGTTTAGTGTTTTGTTCCCATGAGTAAGAGCAGGGACAAATCCAGGTTTTGGGAGGATTTGATTATTTTTTTCTGGTTTAGGGAAATTTTGCCAACTATGGGGAATGTCCCAAATCCAAAGCCAGGGGAACATAATTATAAGCAGGTCTGTTCTTGGGTTAGGGTAAGAATTCCAGGTAGAATGTTACGAAATGGCACCCACAATCACCCCAGTGTTAACCCAGTTATATTGCTCCGTGTATACCAAATGATATAGCCTTGAAATTTTCTTCAGGAGCAACTGATTCCATAAACATAAATTAATTTGACCTGAATAGGCATTTCTGAGACTGAACACACACACACACCAGCAGCCATGATCAGATGTCAGACATAAATGTGGATTTGACTGGTTCACTGTTGGGCCACATTTTTTGTTAAGGAAATAGGGAGACCTACTGATCTGATGCTCTAGCAAGCCTTGACTGACTTTCATGTCTAAAAGTCTGATGTCAGGGCCAGAGGAAACTCGGGCTAATATATCACCTAGACTTCAATATTGATTTAACATCAAACTCCAGAGCTTCATCACGCCCAATGACAGCCTCATGTGGTCCAGCAGTTTCATGTTGCAGTGCTAAACCAATACACATATGCTATACTTATAATATAGGGTCACAGCACACTGTGATGTGTGCTGTGACCGATATCAGTATAGCATATGTGTATTTCAGACATTTGTAATGAACCCCTGTGGATAAACCAAAGGGTCTTGTTGGCACATTTAGAATATAAGTCAACATACAATGTACATTGGACAGTTAATCATTATTATCCAACTTATTTTCCAATGAATGTCAACATTGTTTGATAACAGGGACAAATGTCTGAAATACACATATGCTATACTGATATTGGTCACAGAACACATAAACATACACTTGGTGTATATACACATATAAGGTGACAGTACCCAAATCGGATCACCAAACCATCATTTAATTAAATCATTGAAATATCTGAGGAGGAAATATCTGAGGAGGAATTATATTCATTTATGATTGCATCAAAAATAGAATATCGATGGGTGTTCTCACAAACGAAATTAGCACCCGGGGCTCACTCAAGATATTTATAGAACGCTCTGAAGTAAATCAGACACCAATCAGCGTCTTCTGTTTTTGCGAATGTCTGGACCTGAAATCGGATCACGGCTTGAATTTTGCAGTATCGTACGCTTCAAATGAATATTTTTTGTCAGCATATTAACATTTTATGATGACCTTTAGAATGTATATGACAAAAAGTATTTCTATAATGTGAATTTATTCCTATTTTCCAAAACAGTGCCATTTTTTAAAAACGTAATCAAAACATTGACATTTGAGTTTTAAATACGTTTTCTTGCGCTATTTGAACTTAAAAACTAATTATCTGTATTGTCAAAAAATGGTGCATGGCTATCTATTCTAAGACTACATCATTGTTATACCTGATTTGTTGACCCATTTATTTATTCATATATATTTTTTGCAAAAAGTGATCCGATTTGGGTACTACCACCTTAAACATACACTTATCAGTATTATAGCATATGTATTTCAGACATTTGTAACGAACGCCTGTGTATGTTTATGTGTGCTGTGACCCATGTCAGATAGCATATGTGTATTTTAGACATTTGTAACGAACCACTGTGTTTAGCTAGAGTTTTCTCTGGCCCTGACACCAGACTTAAGACATTTTGACAGATATATGTCTGATGTGGGGCCAGAGGAAACTCGGGCCATGTAACGTTACGTTCGGTCGGGGCTGATTTTCCACGTCTGTGAAAGCTATAGGCCTACCTCCCAGAAATTATCATCATCGTCTGGTATTTCAAACATCTGTGTGATTAGTCAGCCTTCTGTAAGTAGTTCACTGCACCAAGCATCACCAATAAAAGATTATAACTAATGTTGACAAATGTGTCATTCGAGACAGGCGCCCTTTCGCTAAATGTGCACAGAAATGTGATGTCATCAATTTGTGTGAGAGTTCACACTTCCGGGATTCGGCCTGTCGAAAAATGAAAGCACGCAACTTTGAGAAGAAAATTTCAAAGCAGTAGCATTATATGTGGTACTGTCGACGTAAGTTTGGTTCTAACTGTGATATTCACATTTTCAACGTATTTTTTTCCAAGACATGGTTCATTTGATCATCTGTCATATCAGTTTCTAATTACGACAACTCGACCAAATATATACGTTAATATATTAATGAATATTACCAACTCGTCCACTACAAGAATTAATACTGTGATGTTATGATGGAACCGGAGTGGAACCTTATAGCATTGCATATCTTGACCATTAATCATTTATATTTGAACTGCCTCAAAACTTTACGCAAGCAAAGGTTTAAAATGGAAAGGAAAAGCAATTAAAACAAACAAGCGCAGATACCTAGAACATATTTTGTGTAAATCAGGAGAGGAAAAATGCACGGCCAGACCGTGGTTCAAACCCGGGAACCCTCCGAACTCTAGACAGATGCTCTACCAATTGGCTATCTGGTCGCTGACGATCTACCCAGTCCAGTTCTGCTACATTCCTCCCTTCTTTAACATAGTCTTCGACCCCGAAGACACATATTAAGACCCTAATTACCACCTTTAATGTGGGTAAATTTCGTTAGGCGCCAAATGTAACAAGAGAGGAAAAATGCACGGCCAGACAGGGGTTCGAACCCGGGACCCTCCAAACTCTAGAAGAATGCTCTACCAATTGAGCTATCTGGTCACCAACGATCGACCCAGTCCAGTTCTGCTACATTTTTATAATGATGCCTGATCAAAACAAAAATATTTTGATATTGCAATTATGTGAGCTGCCTATTATATTCTTGATCAGAGTGACATGATGAAGTAATGGGATCAAGGTACATGGATAAATATTGCACAAATATTATATTATTTGACACTGTACAATTTAAGGTAGGAAATTAATATAATTTAATTATCACAATATATCATATGTTATATATTACTGGAAATTCAATGTAGAGTATTTGAAACAAAAAGTCATAAAAAATACCTTTGTGCCTTTAATAGTAGTTAAAAAATATGCAGTTTTTGCCATTTCAACATCACATTGCTATAAATGTTTAATAATTACTAATTATATTTCTAATATTATAATTGGTCCAATTATTGCAAAATTATTGTCCACCCGTTGTTCATTATAAATATGAGGTAGTTTATCTTTTAAACTCCCTGATTAACATATATGATATGTTGTACTTGTGTATTAATTTTGTATACACAAATAACAAAAGAAGACAAATTGTTTTGCCTGTCCTGTCAGGGTCTCAAACTCAGGTGTACTAGCTGTATTTACGACACCATTCTGTTGAGATAGTCATGTATCTGAATGAGCACCTGATTGGAATACAGGGATACAAGTATATAACAGGTGTGTAAAAGATATTCAATTTAATCCATTTCTTCTAATAAATCAACACCTGAAATGGCCATCCAGCTAACAAATAATAGTATTGAGTTAATAGCGTATGGTTTAATACACATTTACTTGTTATTGTAGGCACATATCACAAGGTACACAACTATTGAAACATGAGGCTCCAGAAAGCATTATTCCGTGGGGTTTCATACTCTTGCAACGTGAATGCAAGAATTTCTCTATGTCGTCTTCAAGATATAAGCCCAATAGGAAAGATGATATCTAGGTTATCATCTACTACTTCATCAACAAAATTGACCTCTTCATCAGTTCCAGATCAGTGCAATACATCACCAGCCTATGACGCCCATGTTATAAAAACAGAACATGTAAAACTAGTATGTAATGATTGTAACAGATTCAAAGACATTTTGTCACAAAACTCAACAAACAATCATTCCAAACTGTACAATAAGTCTTTGTGGTCTCTACATAATGAATCATTGACTCATACCAGACATGTGATGAACAATATGCCATGTGTCAGTAACTTCCATTCCATGAAGAACTCTGATCTGTTCAACAAGAGAAAATTGATGGACCCATCAGTATACTTGACACACCCACTAAACCGATGCCTGACTGTGTCTCCTAAAGGGATCCTGGACGCGTCTCCAAAAATGATTCAACCCTATTTGAGACTTATCAGATTTGATAAACCTATAGGTAAGAATGGTGTCCATGTTTTTAAAACTTGTCTGTTCCTTATAACTCAATATTCTGTAAACAGTTGAAAAGAAAATATTTTAATATCATTTATCATTAAAATTCAGTGAAAATTAAAAGTTATATCCTAAGATTGTGATTTGGAATTTAAGAGCTGCAAAAAGTGGAACAGTGGAAAAAACTTAACTGATGGAACAACATTAAAGCAAAATCTAGTACATGTACAATGTACTTGTAATTTGTAAGGGCTACAACAACTGATCAGTAATTGTTACATTAAATTTATGATGTCACCTGTTTTACATATTGTACGGTGTATTATGTTCTCAGCCATGAAAATGAACACCACATGCAGATTTATATATTATTTTTCACTGCACTGTAAGATTTCATAAATATACCTAGTGTTTTATCCATAGTGTGCTATGTAAAAATGATACCATAGGATCAGCCTTTTGTTTTACCCATTATTGCAAAAAGTAAAAATGGCCAATGAGCTACTGACCTGTACGTAGCTTGTATTATACCTACTAAAACTATTTTATTAGTTTTTGGTAAGAACAACTTGTTTATGTACTATACCTAATACATGTATAGTGACAGTATGATGAAGCTGCAATCTGTACTTGTTTCTGATTAAATTACAGAAATTGTAAGGATAATTTAAGCATGTCAAAAAAGGGGAAAATGAGAAGATTAAAAAAAACCTAAGTTTTCCCGAGGCATTAGCCAATTATTTATTTCTGTTTAATTTGTTTTTAATTGTACATTTAATCGATTATTGTATAATTATTGGTGTTGATTTACTCTATAATAATAAAGCTTATTTTTTCTCTGTAATTGAATTTCCAGGTACCTACTTGCTATACTGGCCATGCACATGGAGCATTGCCATGGCAGCGACCCCAGGTCACCTTCCTGACCTCTGGCTGTTGACCTTGTTTGGGGCGGGAGCCTTCTTCATGAGAGGGGCTGGTTGTATTGTAAATGACATGTGGGACAGAGACATTGATAAGAAGGTAAAACATAGAACACATTGATTTAGAGATGTATACATTTATACACTCCATTACATTTAGAGTACAGGTAATAGTTCTATAATTATGAATAGGTCTTCATTTACATGTGATAGCACAATGTCATAGTTTGCCTGCTGTCCTTTTCAGATGTGATATATATATATGTTACCACAATTTTTAAAGAATGAAATTGTATGTGTACATGTAATTATAATTATATCTATTTATAATATATACCAGGTATCTATAATTTCAAAAGTCTATTGATTCTTTAATTTCAAATTTGGTATTTCTTAAAATTAAGGTAGCATTTGATAAATGGAATAACCAAAATCAATCATCTGTCAGTGATGTCAGAAATTACGATTGTGATGTACAAAAGAAATGTATCACCATTCATCTGCCTGACTTGTGAAGAATCTGCAATGGAGGCAAATATAAAATATAATTTTACCGTGTCAGCAATGAAATTGCTATCCGGCATTGAATATAAAGGGCAATAACTCTATCCTTGATTAAAATTTGCCTTATCATAAATTTGTTGTTATTTTCACTGAGTTCTGACATATGACATGTAATACCAGGTTGAACGAACAAAACTCCGGCCTCTAACCAGCGGTGAGCTGAGCATGTTCCAGGGCCTTGTCTGTTTAGGAGGGATGTTATCAGTATCACTGGCAATACTTTGTCAGCTCAATATGTTCAGGTTAGTCTAGTGTCTCATTCATTGATGTATGGGTTTCACACAAACAGCACTTCAGCAGTCACTAGACTGGAACAAACAACAATTTTCAATTATATAATTATGTTTTTTACAACAATTTTCTGATTTCTGCTGATACCTAGGAGACATATACATTATGACTAATTACTACTTTTTCTAATGCAATTTTTAAATTGTCAAACATTTTTTTCTGATCTGGGACCAATTTTTTTGAAAAATGGTTTAAAGTACAGGATCAGGTGTGAATGATTTTGGATATCAACACTTTGAATATTGATGTATTTAAGTTAATATACTTTTAAAATGTAGCATACATATAACAACACAATGTAAGGAATTGATCAACAATGAAAATCAGCAAATGCTTTACCAACGGGAATGCAAGTACCGGTATGTACCTGTTTGACGACTGTTTTATCTTTGAATGTGTTCTAATAGTTACTGAATATACCAGTGAGTACATTGTAGTCATATGAATTTCCTTCACAGTATCATACTGGGGGCGTCGTCCATGTTGCTGGTGATTCTGTATCCACTGGCCAAGAGGTACACCTACTGGCCCCAAGCTATGCTAGGTAGGTGATACATTTATACTTCTACTCATTCTTGTTACATTCACAAAACCTGAGTAGGTTCTGCAATATCTGTGATCAAAAAGTAGGATGTGACTTTCTGCTGGCCTGTCAATTTTACTCAGTGCTGAGGAATCAACACAAACCATTTTAGGAATCAAAGGTCAAGGTCATCAGAAAGTGACCTCCTACATTACAAGTGACCATCCTATAGTTACTCTGTCAGTATAAATATTTGTATCCAGAAGTTTTATTTCTGTGAATCACTTAGGTTGATTGTGTTTGGTCCTGTTTGTGAGGCAGAACTTGAAGTTTTGTCTTGTTGTTTGTGATGTTATATATATATATATATAATTCCCTTTATTTTTATTGAAGTTCTTCTGATACTCTTATCAATTAGTTTTATACGTTACATAAACAGTGAAAAATATTGACAATTACATTCAATACATTCAAATTTGTCATCTTCTAAGGATTACAAGTTTTTCAAAAGTGCAATATGAATTTGTAAATTGCTATGTATTCATGAAATTAAATCTTTTGGAAAATAGTAGCATCTTATGATCTATACCATGTGCAAAGCTCTTGTTGTTGAAGAGTGAAAAGATCATTGCTCATCTAAAGGTAAATGTATATACATGTATATAAATATGTTATTTTTGTATGAAAAGCAGAGTCTTAAATTACATGTATGCCCTATTACAAAAGGGCGGTACCTATTTACCTAACAGGGGAGTCCTACCAGGTAATAGGCAGGTGTATAATATATTTACTGTATAGGGACAGAGGATGTACGATCCTGTTGTGGCATATTATCTACCTTTAAAGTGGGTTAATGATTTGTAACAATAATAGCACCCCTGCCCCATTCTTTTTATTTTGTTTAAGATATATATTGATGGAATGATTTTATATACCCAAGTACAATAAAAAAAAAAATGTGTAAATACATGACTTGGTAAAATACATCAGAAATCTGAATCCGTTAAATTCAAATTATCAGGTGAATCTCTGTCTTACATCCCCCCTGATGGACATGTGCCACCCTATTGTAAATATGTACATACATATTATGCATACATATCTCCATTCCTAAAGATCCCACATGAAAAAAACTGTAAACTGTTTGGACTTGAATTAAGGATAATTTATGACACATTTAAAATTCACGCAAGAATGCATGCATGATATCAATAGATAGTACAAGCTAAGGGAGATCACTGCTTTGATACAGAAATGTGTCTAGTATTGATATCTGTTATCTTTAACACTAACCTGAATACCTGGCTGTTCTCGGATAAACTATCACACACCACCTGACCGTGTTTTTTGCAGGCGTGACCTTGAACTGGGGAGTGCTGATCTCCTGGTCAGCCATCAATGGTGGTCTGGACTGGTCAGTACTGTCCCTGTATGTGGCCTGTGTGATGTACACAATCATCTATGATTCCATTTATTCCCATCAGGTAGCACAGACAAGGATACATCTCTGATTACTCTTCCTTCCTCCTACGCACTAAAACTTCACTTGCCTCAATGTTATCTTGTATAGCATGTTTATTGTCTGTTGTACTTGTAGAATGCATGTTATTGCATGCTTTTGTTGTCAGTTTTAGATGTACATGTATAACGAGTAGCTTAATTACATCTAGAAAGAGTTTTCTGAATGGAGTGATCTGAATCCATGTACATGTATGATGCAGTTTGACTATCCAACCTAACCATTATTTAAGACATCCATTCATAATTAAAAACGCTTTGTGTATATTTTCTTTCTGAAGATATTTAGTCACTAAACTTTCTTAGCTTACCAAGGTGATGTTACTCTGGTATAGCGCCCTTTGTTAATTTTTTATACCGAAGTTTTTCTATTGGCTAATATGACATGTTTTTATTCACAAAAACAAAATTCTAGTTCAAATGATATAGATAAGTAGATCCACCCTGGAGGCTGAAGGGCAAGACCCCTACCTTTGAACTGTATACCTGCAGCTTGCTTTTCATTATATTTGTATGAATACATATGCTACCAGAATTTGCTCCTGGATCAAACCCTGACATTGGGGTCTTAGGCCCCGGGTCAAAACAAGCTTTTAATTAACTGCAGCACTACTGATGTGAAAAAATTAAATATTGAAATGAAAAGGTGAATTTTGTGTGTGTCATGGACATTCATGGAGCACACCATAAAACATGTTGTATTTAAGTGACTTCAGAGTGTGAAATTGAGTCTACGGTAACAGCCACCATGGATCAAATAGGGTTATTGTCTTGTGTTAGTTTTGTTGTGCGTTTGAATGTTCCCTACATGCTTGTGTACATACAATTCTCAGTAGTGTTTCAGAAAGGCCTTTGAACTTCTGGTAGTACCATATGTTGGTGGATGAGATGTCCTTGCAAGGTTTCATTAATGCGAGAACTCTGCATGTCAGTCAATTTTGTTAACACCAACTCCATGTTTTTTTCACACTTTAAGTGACATGTACATAGCTCAGCTTTTCTCACACATAATAAGGCAGTGATGGTGATATATGGCTGTGTAGTCTAGAAGTCATTTGCCATTGTGTTATGATTTAAAACCTTCACAAGCTCCCTTGCTCATTAACCCACTTATAGAACTATTCTGTATGAGGATGTGACGGTCATCATTGAGGTGCTGCCAGGATATCCTATATGTTCCTCGTCACTACTTCTGATCTACTGATGACAAACCGTGGTAGATTCTATCTCTCTGCTTGACTCTAATCTGTCTGTGTGTAACTTTTCTGGTTACTAATATCAAGTGAATAACCCGCTTCCTTCCAGGGCCTAATGAACAGTTAATAGCATTGTGTTCAGATGTGGCAGGCGTTTGAATTTATGCTATTTTATATTGGCTTTTTAGGACAAAGAACACTTTTGGTACTATATGTAGTTACCAATTGCTCTCTGCTGTGTGATAATACTAATGGGCTGACATTTGTTTTGGTTACCAGGCCTGACCTTCAATTACGGGGCCCTGTTAGGCTGGGCTGCAGTGCAGGCCTCTGTCGACCTATCCGTAGTGCTGCCGCTGTATGCCAGTTGTTTCGCTTGGACTCTTTTGTACGACACCATTTATGCTCATCAAGTGAGTGCTTTGTATGGGTTACTACCAGTCTCCCTGCATGGATATAACATAAAGTAGGACTGTTCTTGTTATCTCCCCCTTGTAGGAACTCTTTTGTACAACTCCTTTTTTGTCCATAAAGTGAGTGTTTGTTTAGGTACATGGACCAAAAAACACAATTTTCAGACTCAGTTCAACCAAGTACACAACATTGAGTTATACATTTTCCCAAGGACAACTTTTACTTAGTAATATATGGTAAATTTAGGTTGGAGTAAATTAAGTATATTTACAGAATCTGTAACACCCTGTAAACAACATGTGATACTGTTTCATGCAGTCTATTATCTCCCCTTGGTAAAAACACTTTTGTACTTTTAAAATCTCTGACTCTTGCCTATCAATTAGAATGACTCAGTGAGTGTGGGTTTTACTATCAGTGATACTTTTTTCTTTCATCAATGTAAATGATACCTGACCATTGTCATACTACACAATATAAAAATGTTCATTAGCAAAGACAAAATACATTTTAATGTACATGTATTTTAGGTAACCTATCTGATATACAAAACTTACCTGTATGTAAATCTATTTCACATATCTGGAACTTCTTAGTTTTACACAGGTCTATAAAGCTCATTTTTATAACGGATAATGTTTTTCAAATTTTGCTTTTAGTTTAAAAAAAATTCAGAATTTAAATGAACAGATTCCTACCCGAGGAACTTTATGATCTAGTCACTTAAAACATTTTTTTTTTAAATATTTTTTCTCACCTGGTAATTTCGGTAAAGATTTTTGCATGTCAGTGTACCAGTATATATTTTGCCTGTCATACCTCATTTTTCCCAACTTAATACTCTTTCCTTGTACCTTGTATCCAAGCATGCTACCTAAGCTTTAGTATGGTGTAGTTATAACACAACTTATTGTACAATTGTAGATTTAGTTTGCTATGCTACTAAGAGACAAGATATTGTTCAATAAATATGCCTTACTACAAACAATCAACTTGCGAATTCTTGCTTAAAATAATATGATATATGTGTATTTTGGCTAAGAACTGCCTCAGTATGATTAACAAATCAAACAATAACAAATTAATATAAAATACAGATTTCTTGGATCCCCCGATCGTTATATACCTGATTTACTCAATAAATAACTTTGTGGTAGTGACTTCTTTCCTGATATTTTTGCCAGTCGTTTCAGGATTCTGAATCAAAATTATAACTGTGCGCACCAAATAATTTAAATAGAAAAATGGTGATGATTGAAATGTGAATCTAAATCGTTTTTAGTTTGTCAATAAACAAGTGAATTTCAATCACCATATAGCGGTGTATTTCCATGCGGAGGATATTTTTGTGATTAATTGAGTCATTTACATGATGAAAATTCAGAATCAGTAGGTTTACGCTTGTAAAATAATTTCAGTGACAGTTTGCATGTTGTAGTGGTATAAAATGGCATGAACTTAGAAAGTACCCGTGTATACTTCATTCCGGGTCAACAGTCTCATTATTTTATTAATAGAAACACCTGTAAATGACTTTCTCTGTGTGATGAGATGGTGAAAATTTGATTTCTAATTTGGAGTCAAAACAACAACAAAAATTAAGCTCATGTAAATATATCCTTTTATATAACATGTGATATGTTCAAATTGTAGAGATTTTAGTCACGTTCATTATCAGTAAAGCTCAGTCTTTTTATGTACATACTGCAAAAGGAAATATGAAATTAATTTTGGATGTTGTCGTTTCAGGATAAATATGACGATATGCTGATTGGCGTTAAGTCTACGGCCCTAAGGTTTGGTGACCAGACTAAGTACTGGTTGTCAGGGTTTGGTGTAGTGATGATCAGTGGACTGACCACGACAGGAATCATGTGTGACCAGACATGGCCGTACTACACAGCAGTGGCCTTTACCTGCGGTCATCTGTTCCACCAGGTCAGTTGGATGTAACGCTTAAAACCAGCTATGTTTCAAAAATCGTACCCCAGTATTTTCTGGCAACTCAAATTGAGGATGTATGCAACACTTGTTACAACTTTTATTGAGAGTTTAGTTCATCAAACAAACAAACAAACAAGAGCATGTATAGTGCATGATACACCCGTCCACATTTTTGTTGAAAAGAGCGCAGTGTAAATAAAAGGCCAATAACTCTTAAAATGACCCGATATTATCAGGTATGGAACTTCGGCAAGGTTTTATTGCATTTAACTTTCTTGCCAAGTTTCAAGATAATGGGTTAATAGTTACTTACGATATTGAGTGGACACCAAAATGTTTACGGATCGACGAAGGGTATAACCATAATTCGACCCGTCAAGACGGGAGTATAAAAATGGTACACTTTGAGAAGGGGGGAATAAAGTTTTAAAACTTTATGAATTTTCTCAAAATTCAATTTTTCATTCAAATCTAAGTTTCATATTAAATTTAATGGATTATGTCAGTTTCACTGCCAAATCAGTTATTTATTGTGTGTTTTGTTTTCAAATACAGATTTGGTCAGTTGACCTGGATAATGCAGACGATTGTGCGGCCAAGTTTCGCTCCAACACGCGACTTGGATTCCTCATGTTCCTGGGGGTTACCATGGGAACCCTGCTGAAGGTGGCGGAGGAGGACGAGAAGGAAAACAAGATCAAAGCAATGTGAAATCTTAGATTCTGTGATTGTGGTTGTTTAAAAGCTTCACAATGCAAAATATACTTGTGGACTCTACATTAAAATGTAAATTCCACTTACGTTGTTATACGTTGTTATATGTGCCATGACACTGTGTACTTCATGTCTGCTATAGATTATTATATAAAATATTTTACTATTTATTACTGTTCATAGTTATTTTTTCAAACATTCAAATACTTCCTTTGCTTAGCTAATTTGTCTTGAATTTTTTTTCTTCTATAAAATTGGAAAGTATCAAAAGTGTACCACAAATTAATGAAATATTTTAGCAGTAAATATTTTGTACATGAAATTTCTTTTATGGTATAAATGCTGTCATTTTATGTCGTACCGCAGCGTCCGTCGTCTGTCTGTCTGTCAACTTTTACTTTAAACGCCACTAGTCCTGAACAGCTTTGTGGACTTTGATTAAATGTGGCCTGGAGCATCCTTAGGCAAAGGGGACTAAATTTTGCATAAACAGAGGGTTGCTTTTAGTTGGCAGCGGGACGGCCCCAATAGGGGAGAATAATGTTTATAACCCTCCCCAATTCATGGGGGCAAAAAGAAGGGACCTAATGAGGGACGGGTGTTGCTGAGCGACGAAGCCAATATTTGGAAATAGTTGTTATGTAACAAGAATAATTTTCCATGCTTGCTTTATTATCAAGGTGAGCGATACAGGGCCTCTTGTATAGTACAATAATTGGATGACTAAAGTTTTTTTTAATGCACACCTTTACATATTGATACTGCTTTTAATATAGCTATATATTTAGATAAATATTTTATCGAAAAACATAGTTGTATAAAATGTTCCTATTTGATAACACAAAATATACAGTATTTTCCTGAATCAAGCAAAGTGAAAATAACCGCACACATACCTGTTAGGTTGTCCCACTTTTATTGTCATAAAAGGTATGATAAGTTGACATAAATATTAACTACAAATCATCATTATCACAGATTCTCATGCAAACATGTATCAGATGTAAGCACTTAATGTCAAGCACACATATAAAGTAACTTTATCTTTTCCCACTTTTTGTACATAAACCCACAAATAGTACTATTATAAGTGTACAATTTTTCTCAAATAACATATATACCTTGCAAAATTACATTATTTTTCTGTATATATATACCCCTTGCCAAAATCACGACAAACCAAATTTTGCCGAATAAGATAAGGTTCCTTTAACAAGTTAAGTTAAAATCGTGAACATGGCACAAAAACTATTCCATGATAAATGAAACAATAAGCAGAGTTCAAAATTCACAATTACTGTCAAATAGATAGCAAAAAAAACAGAATTCTATGTGATTCTTTCTCTCTAAATAGTAATATTCAACTGCTTAGTTACAGCAAGGCACAACTTAACAACTCAATCTGCACCTGCCCATTTTTTCCGGAGTTTAGCTTCTGTCTAAACCAGATCTTTTACTCCACTCCGCTACTCTACGTTCCAGTCTTTTGGAAGGTAGATTATCGGAATTGAATAAATTATCTGGTTTTTATCCGATTGACTTATGACCAAATATTTCCTTGACATTTCTTTCAGATTCTACCAGTTAAAATGGTTGAACTGTATAGCTAAAAGAGGTTTAAGTTATATATGAATTTATAAAATGTTCTATAAAAAAACAAAAAAACTAGTAAATGCGTAATAATCATTAATCATTCCAGCATGTTGCACTTTAATCGCAGGTGCCAACAACATTGGCTGGAGATATACACATGGGTGCTATCGATATTTTGCCTGTGTTTGAATAATATCTTATTATCAAAGTTGCTTCAAAATTCAAGCTAGTAGCTTAGTCAGAACTATTAGTCAGAACTATTCCTCCGATCCGAGTACACACATTGTAATTTCTCGCCTTCCACTAGTTCACAGTTTACATTCTCGCATATACAGTCTCTCACCAACAGACTGCTATTTATTTAACCTGGAAAAACAATGTAGTCACCTCTTACCATTACTTTGTCTTTATGCAGGAGGTATGTAACATACAATGTACAACTACACTCATTCTCGATACTCCAGAGGTTTCGCTCACTTTCGTTCTCTACACCCCTGGAATATGTCATAAGAAAATCGAAGGCTCAATGGGCGCCACCTGTGGATGAGACAAAAAGACTAGTTTGATCCTTTGATATACATCAAAAGATTCTCCCAGTTGCGCAACGTAAAATTGACAAGACTTTTAAGTCAGGTGTCGCTCCTCTGTAATCTTCAAAGGACAGGTATCAGCCTAGCAATTGGTCAGGTGGTTTTTACCGGAGACCAATCAAAAAGCTAGCTGCGTGCTTTCAATATGCCTATGACATATTCCAGGGGTGCAGGAAGCGAAAGTGAGTGTAACTCCTGGAGTATTGAGGATGAACTACAAGTAACCGAAGGTAAACATGTATTCAAACCACACTTGCTTCTTTTGTCAAGTGTCCACTCTGCTGCTTCTAATGTTGAGTACATCATACATTAGCAGAACTTACTCAGTTGGGGCCTCCTTAACTTGTGCATCCCTATTTCATAAACGAACGACTCTGGTCTATTTGGTCAAACCATATGGAATGCGGGAAATCATAAATAATCACAGGTGACCCAGTTTTTGCACTTTTACATAATTTGTAATTTATCCAATCCTCTCAAGCGTCATGCATACATTACAATCATACATAATATGTAGACTTGACACTGTGCTAGAATGTACTCTGTATTTACCCAATCTTCTCCAGCTTCGTGCATACATTAGTCCTACGTAATATGGTACTTTGTACTAGATATATCTTTTTGTATCCAGTCACATCACTACATACTAGTACATATTACAGAACAATACATTGAGTAACACAGTTACTGTTCCCATCTTAATCTGTACCAGATACACATTTTTCTGTGGCCATCTTGGTCATACATTCATACCTGACATATAACGGCCAATCAAAACACAGTTGCTTTTCTACATCCTACTCGGTACCAAGTAGATATTTCCTGTATCTAGTCACACATTCATACATCACACACAGTGGTCCGTCACACCAACAGGTACACTTTAACCTCCTACTCTGTACCAGATAGATATTTTTCTAAATTCAGTCATACATCACACACAGTGGTCTGTCACACCAACAGGTACACTTTAACCTCCTACTCTGTACCAGATAGATATTTGTCTATATTCAGTCATACATCACACGCAATGGTCCGTCACACCAACAGGAACACTTTAACCTCCTACTCTGTACCAGATAGATATTTGTCTATATTCAGTCATACATCACACGCAATGGTCCGTCACACCAACAGGAACACTTTAACCTCCTACTCTGTACCAGATAGATATTTTTCTATATTCAGTCATTCATCACACACAAGGGTCCGTCACACCAACAGGTACAGTTTAACCTCCTACTCTGTACTGGATAGATATTTTTCTATATTCAGTCATTCATCACACACAAGGGTCCGTCACACCAACAGGTACAGTTTAACCTCCTACTCTGTACTGGATAGATATTTTTCTATATTCAGTCATTCATCACACACAAGGGTCCGTCACACCAACAGGTACAGTTTAACCTCCTACTCTGTACTGGATAGATATTTTTCTATATTCAGTCATTCATCACACACAAGGGTCCGTCACACCAACAGGTACACTTTAAACTCCTACTCTGTACCAGATAGATATTTTTCTATATTCAGTCATACATCACACACACAACAGTCCATCATGTAACACAGCACTATGTGGCACTCTGTAGACCTTTCTGTAACAGTTCTAACATCATGGGGTATATTGGGGTGAATTCCTTCCCTTGGCGTGACTTCACATGTTGGACATAGCCCTCTAAGCTTCCCCTATAAAACAAACAGTTTGTGTAACAAAAAGAAAAGTACAAAAAAAATGTTTAAATTGATTATAGAACTAACCTGCAAGTATTCGTAAAATTTGTTTTTACAAAATATTGTAACAATTACTTTGTACATTTACATACCAGGATTTAAAAATAAATGTTGACAATATTTTGAACAGTATTTTTAAACAGCATAAAAAATCTTCAAATTTCAATGTGAAATCTTATGACTTACAAGGAAAATTATGCAAAAAAAGAGCATGATATTGTATCTTAAATATATTATATCCTTACATCTTTATGAACAAACAAGATCAATTCACAGTTTAAATATTTAAGTCAGATACAAAACAGAATTAACAGTACTAACTTGATGAGTGTGAGTCGGTCTTTCTCAGATGGATGGCTATCTAACCACTGCGAGTAGCGACTGACAGACCAATCAGCTGCCTACAAAAACAACGTAATTTTTTTTTAAATCTATATTTTCTTTTTAAATATGATAGCTAAAAGTACATTACTGAAAAAAAATCACAGCCTGCATTTGTCATTGAAACAATGAATTGTTTTTCACCTGCAACCTGTCGGAAACCCAACACCATCAGTACAAATAAGCTTCAATTGAGGATGGAAAGATTTTCTATTTACACAGTTTTAATTTATACATAAAAATGTAATCAGTAGGACTTGATTAAACTCTGGTTTAGGTAGATTTCCTTATTATTTTGAGATCAGTTTAGAAAGGAATGTATTCAGTAAAAGGAAAATATATACACTGTACTAAGAAAGATGTACACATTCATGTTTTATTTCAAATACAGTTTGTTTACCAGTATAAATGTAATATAGCACTTCAACATTGTAACTTGTCAACTGACATAAACATTCTATTTCTAAATCTTGACTTAATAACTGACCACACCCCTAGCTCCACTGTGTTAGCAGTTCATCGACTTAAAATGTCTGCAGTTGAAACAGTTTAGATGCCATTAACTTATAAAACAGCATAATCCCAAGCAACGGAGAAAAGTGCTGCTGACAAAACTCAGGCTCTTTTGATACAATTAACATACAGCTCGGTCCAAAACAACTTTATTCTACAGCCATATTTAACTGAAAAACACAAGACCTCCCTTATCTGTAAACCTCGTTAATCTGAACACCCTACAAACGTTGGGGAGATGAATACTTGTCCTACTGTTGGCAGCAGTAACTTGACTTGAGTAGCTGGAATGTGAATCTACTGGATGAAGGGGACATTTAAAAATAGGACACAGAACTTTTGAGACTAAAACTGGATGGTGGGACAACACGATTAGAGGTAAATGGATTTAGGTGACTTGACTGTCATTTTGATAATGTTATTAAATGGTACTTACAATATGTGGAGACCGGAGTTCAGGGGGAGCCCCTCTGGCAAACAGGAAGTGTAAACATGTGCTGTAGGGGATGATGTCGCCCAATGTTGGACCCTTACATATGTGTTCTGGTGTCTGGAAGAGGAGCGGCCTGAAACAAAACAAGCACAATCTATTAATTACAATACTAGTATGAACTTGTACTGGTGCACAGCATTACATACATACCCTTAGTACAAACATTCCAGGATGGGCAATGAGCTAAACACCATAACAGATCATCTAACTGCATCATAACATTTAACTGATAATTCATTCATAATCAGTTCAGATTCAATGTCAAAGTCAATGTATGTTTGAAATTACTTATTTCTACTCCAAAGTAAGAATGGAGACAGCAAGGTTTTAACTTCTGATATGAAGTATCTTTGCAGCTACATCCTTTCAAACGTGTTTTGCTGTAATTTTCCATATAAAATTAATCCCATGTACAAAGTAAAGGGACATTTCGCTTTTAGTAATTATTGACGATGGATTACAGTGAACAGTCACTGATGATCATGAACAATAGAACTGATCATTAATAATTGACGAATTCTAGACTTCATCTCTATCTCCTGCTGCTTAGGGGACACTAGAGAAACCAGGACTGATCTGCTGCCCCTAATGTAAAACTTAGGATCTATATTTTATCAGTTCCCTATATTTTCCTGTCAGTCGCGTCTCCCTAGGTACCCATCTTCAGATAGCCTAATAGTTGTTGCCTGGACATTAAATCCAAAACAAACAATGGCCTTGCATATGTGTTGGTCATGCAAGTATAATTCAAAGCTCAATATGATAAATTATGGCATAGATGAACTGCAACAAGAAGAATTGGCACTAGGGGCCTGTTTGTTTATGCAGAACAACCGGTTTGTCCTTTTTAAATGTAATACTTTTCGGGTATAAATCCTGGCGGACCAGCAAATGTTTATGCAGGTCTCTTGCAAGGCTTTGTCAAGGATCGCCTGAAAGCAACTTCAAAGTTCGAGGTCCGACCTTATTTAATAAACAAACAACTGTGGTCCGACCGTTTAACTGTTTAAACGAAAACGGCCCAAGTTAACAATGTCTCGGTTTCATTCAAAAAGGGCAACGTGATAAGGTCACTGTGGTGCAATTTGTTGACACTAGAGCTTGCACAATAAGTATTAGCACAGAATTAACAACAGCTTGAGAAAGTGTTAACACTATAATACCAGAGAATCAATAGTCTTCTATTTCTTATATGACTCCAGTCTCCCGTGTTTAAATAAGTTGGTTTTGCTGCAACTTAAAATTGCCTCCCAAATATATAACACAATGTAGTGCAGTAAGCTACCAGAATATAATAGAACTCATTGAATTTAATATCTGTCATTGAAGGGAAATGTTTTCTTTCCTACCTAAATGCCCTTAAAAGCCTGTAATCTTTGCCGATATCGGACACCCTTTTACAAAATGGAGAGATAGCCAATTCCATCTGGGCAAAGTCTGCAGCAAGTCGCATCTTTCCGCCCTCCCCCAGGGGGCGCACCAAACTTGCGTGTCTCACAAACAGCATTACACATCGACTGGCTATAGGTTTGATGCTGAAAAATAAACAAAATGTATTGAGACACTTTCAATAATTTATCTATATTCTTGTAACATCTGAATGTTCATTTTACAAATAGGGTCACTTCATTGAATTCAACCAAATTATAATAGGTTTACTACTAGGTACATTAAATATCAAACACACCTAATACAGTGTAAGAAATTAGTTTGTTGTAATTTTCTACTAATTGACAAAATGCTGTCAGGATTGAAAACTTTGTTTATAAGCATGAATTAACATATTAACAATAAACCTGTGCGTAGTAAACATGTTTTACAGTAATCATAGGCAGTATGGACAGAAATGGTTTTAAAACTACGGTAAATCCTAAATTTCTAGACTAGTTACATCAACCTCATATGAAATGTCTACCAGAGCTTCGATTGAACAGATCTTCAATCACACATATGAAATCATCAGTATATATTTGTATTAAGTCTGTATGTATCTGAAGAAAACTATGTTTGAGTACCTTTCCATGATAAACTCCAGACAATCATACTGAGATAGGTAGTCCTTCTGACACCTGGTTACAAAGTCCTGCAACTCACGCATGTACAGAGAGCACTGGGCCTCCTTCTGAGTGTCCGCAGGCATCGACCTTCAAAGGAATTCAATATAAAATTCATTAATTTTAACCTTCCTATATAATGATACCCTATTTTATAGGGACTTTAACATGTCTGATCACTATAATACATAATATATAACATACTTACAATTTTATACAATTACTGACCTCTCGGAGGATGAAGGATTTATTATCCTGAGAGAAGAAAATGTAAATGGGGTGTTTCAATCTTAACATGAATTGTAGTTCAAGCTTTGCTTATAATATGTCTCAGTTTCCCTGTTTAATCAATATTTTGATTGCTTTAACAGATGAACTAATATTGATATCTGCAGTATAAGGCATAAATCCAATGGTATCATCTTGTATTTACCCTGAAAAATCCTCCTGGTGCATGGTGAGTATGATAGCCTCCACGGCGTCAGATATAGAGGACAAGAGAGGGTTAACTGCTGCACTCATCAGCGCCACCGTCACCTAGGAAATATCAACAAGGCATCACAAGTGATACAAACCTCCTCGCATTCACACATTGTGACAAACGTAAGGGGAAATGAAGTTGCTAGAAATAGTAAGTGACCTTGACCTTCAACATAGAAAAACATGAAACACAAACTTCTTCAGGGTATTGCCATACTATACACCTGCATGAAGTTTTATGAAATTCCGTTCAGTAATGAAGTCGCCAGAGTGATGACAAAGTTTTTTCTAAAAATAGTAGCAGTGACCTTGACCTTCAACATAGAAGCACGAAACGTGAACTTGTTCAAGGCATTGCCATACCAAACACTTGTATGAAGTTTCATGATATTCTGTTGAGGAATGAAGTCACTAGAGCGATGACAAAGAGTGTAACATACGTACGTACGTAAGGGCGGAATCCTATATCCCCTCAAACTTTGGTTGCCTGGGGATACTAACTACTAATTAATCACCAACCAGCATTAGCTGTCATCTATACTTCACAAAGATTTTATTTGTGACCAGCTTGTTTGATAAACTCCTGATCTGATTGTGATTATAATGTCCACCATGAATGTATTTGATATTTCACAAATAGAACGACAGGGCCGTAGTCGACCAATAATAGTCAAATATAACTCTTACCTCCAAAGCTTTCTTTATGCTTTCTACTGCCTCTGTGGGATAGTTCATGAGGCTGGCTAACACCTGCAAACATATGATGAAAACCTTAATACAAACAGACAAGTAATAACTTTGATAACGTAAATAGTAATTATTTTTCATTGACTAGAAAATCTTACGATTATATTACAAACCTGTACCGTACTAGCTTTGGATACCAACAGTTCTAAAATGATCACAAACTGAAATATTTGTATAAACATTGGCAAAATCAGCCACAGAAGTATTGTTTCAAAGAAAAAATCAAACTGTGAACTTTAAAATTATAATTCAGTATACTACGAGCTGACTATCATAGGATTGTTAATCCTGTACATATTTCATGTATATTGTCAGAATAAATCGGTGTATCTGTGTATAAACTCCAAACCCTGTGACAATTAACAGCATTACAGTAGATTAGTACTACCTTTGAGATGGACTGGTGTAACAAGTACAGCGTGTTGACTACAGCACAGTTACGATTCTGCCCCTGGGTAGGAAGGCCGATCACCTGGCTAGCCTCCCCGTCGGTAGCGAGCTACAATTAACAATGAAACAATATTTTCATTGGAAACTTAATTGTTAAGATAAATTATCACTTTGCTTTGATATCTTAATTAAGAAATGTTATTAAAATATTTTAGTAAACAACATTTTTGTTTGCTAATATCTTTGAAATCTCTGGGTGATAAAAAGGATGAAAACAGGTTCTTTAATGGTGTTTAATCAAAATATCTTTCCTGACATTTATCTTCTATGACTATCGCAACAGATTATTGAAATACATGTTTGCAACCGATGGAAAAAATAAAATAAACAAAACATTCTCTATTTACTGTAATTAATACTTACCAGCTGTTCGCTCTTGTTACAGAAGAGCTCGATGGTCTTGGCCACATTCTTTGATACCGTCACACACAGTTTGTTGTCTACGCTGGCTACATTTAGCTCACTAGTGACAAATCATAACGATGAAAGGGATTAAGGTATTCATCATAATCCTCCAAGATTTGTCTACACACGTACCAAAGCTGTAGCTAGAAATAATGTAGTAATGCATCAGAAATTCTTATTAAATACTTCACAATTTAGCAAGTGCTCCATACCATTCGGATATTTGTTTAGCAGTAATTGTTTTACTGCACAGTGACGGCCAAAACAAAACACTTCTACCCTTTATGTTGTTTTAACAAACAAACATGTATTGTTAATTCAGAAACATGCCTAAAAATGAAAATTTCTGTCAAACAATGTTTATAAGTCCATCTCATCACAAGTACCTTCACAATGAAGAAGTCTTAGGCATACTAAATACAAAATAACTATCCTTAATAACACAATCAAAGATTTGCATTATTTGTCTAACAATACAAACTTTGGAGTCAGTTACGTTCAAGAAATACCTTCATTTAGATTTCTATCATCCGTTTCTGAATTAACAGTACAATCTGTATTTAGAAAATAAGTTTTCCAGCTAATTTGTTTATGGTATTCCACATACCTTATAATGGTTTTTACCACACTCTCCACCTCCGAGGCTGTTGGTGGATTCATAGAACTGCTACTACTGAAGACCAGGTTGATGGGATCAAACAGTCGTGACAGAGACTTGGACAGGTAGGCCATCTCAAACTTGGCCAGAGTCAGTCTCAGAGCGGCCTCAGGACTGTGGACATAAAATTTAAATATAAATTACCGGTATAAGCCATTGTCACTCAAGGAAGGAAGATTGATCACATAGTGTTATACTGTATTTCAAGGTAAACATACACAGTCAATATATACCTATCGTCAGTTAAGGTAATTTGCTTTCAGAAAAGAATGTAGCAAATCAAGTTTATAAAGAGCCACAAGAGAAATATAGGATTTGTTTGTTAGAGTAAACAATGTTTATAATGAACCTGAGTGTCTATAAAATTACATGAATTCCTTTACAGTAAGACAATCCTGAAAGGACTCCAAGGGACCTCAGAAAATACACCGCTACAGGTATAATCTGTTTTCTTCAACAAATTCCTCGTCTGGGAGCAAAAATTTGACATTGAGACAAGCAAGAATTAACAAAGCATATTTGTAGCCATGGCCTGTCGCCAAGAAGTCGGTGATCAAAAATATCTTTATACCTTTGTATGCCCTGCCAATGTGCTCCCCTCCTCCCCTCCCCAATCAGTTTGATCATGTGCAATAACTATGTATCATGTATCAGTTATCAACCAACTCTTCAACATAGACCTATATCTTTACTACAGTAAAGATTGAATGGTAATGTGTCAGAGTGACATGTTTTACTATACTATTGTTTATCTCAAATGTCTGAACTTTGACAGAACTAGTAACTTTGACAGAACAGGTGAGTAACTAACTCGTATTTGTCCCTCCTTTTGGCCTGCAGGAAGAGGTCTTCCTCTACACCCTCATCAGTGGTCAGATGGTCAGCCATGTGGGAGGCAGTGTTGAGACTAAACTGCTGTAGGCGGCGCCACAGGTCGTTGTACAATCGCAGCAGCTTAGGGTACTCTCCCTCAAATGCCTGCTTCAGAAACGTAGACCCTAGAAACCAATAATAACCATACAGTCGTATACCTAGGTACACATTTTCCTAAAATATCATTAAAATAGCATATTATCATAACACTATTTGTTTATGGTTTTATAGGTGAAAAACATAATTTTATAATTAATGAATGTGCATCTCCTATAATTGAGGGAACAAAAATATTGTTCAAACTAATTAACAAACAGCATTGCTGGTATGATAGTGGTAACTTCATTACACGCCTTTAACAATTCCAAAAAGAGGTCTAACCAGTCTTTAACTGCTCATTTGAAATACTTAATTTATTTTCATCTTCAACCCTGATAAATTTCGGAAGTTGTATAGAATGTTGTCAACAGTCACAATAACAAGGTGATGATTTGACATATATTACCAATCAAATAAATTTCTCCTAAAATATTATGTCTTTAGTTCAAGGATCAATTATAGTATACAGTTAGTGAGTTTTCTGCACTACTAGATTTTGGATTGGTGAAATTCCACGATACATTTTGTATTTACAAGATGTAGTAGATATTGGCATTATGCTACACTCCATTATGTATAATGATGTTGTGTCCTAGCTGTGTGACGTTACCTTCTGATGACTCGGTAAACTCTGCTGTCAACATCCTTGTGATACTGTCCCAGAAGTCCTGCATGATGTTTACCTTTCCATCACAATGCTGGGAAGAAAAGAGAAAAAATTCTCTTACAACTTCTCTGAAGTTTCATGAAAATTGATACAGCAATGACACATTTGCTATAAAAATGTAGGTGACCACGACCTTGACCTTCAGCACAGCATTCTTATACAGTAGCTCTTTCAAAACAAGGTTATATCTAGTACTAGTTCAAAGCATCAAAACCCATTGAGAAATGAAGTCACAGAAGTGATGACACAGGGATTTCAATTTGTAAGTACAGTGTATATGAAAGTGTAGAACCCTTTTTCTCATTCCAGTTTGTTGTGAATGTTGTGAAGGAATTAATACAAACAATGTTGTGATCAATAATGAATTGATTTCATACAGCCCTTCCAACTTGTATGTATCATTACGCCCAGTGGGTTACACACATTCTACTCACAGTAAAACTGCAATTCTTTTGTGAATTTTTACCTTTAATAAACTAGTGAGTTTATATGTGTGCATACATATATTGACACATGAGGAATAATATTGAAGCAACATTGCTAAGGCAAAAATATCCATCATTGCAAATAATTTGAAAGGTAAAAATACAAAAACATCAACTTTTACTTTCATTATTTGCACGGTGACGACAGAAAACAATACCTTTGCCAGTTCTTCTATGAAGCACACATGAGTTACAGGGTCTCTCTTCTTCACCAGCACTTTCTGTAGGTGTTGAACCTAAGAAACATACAAAGATTTAAAAATAATCGTCCTGCTCCTGATGTCCGGGTAGTGGAGAAAGGTTAATCACCTATGACCAATGTTCAGTACGACCAATGTTCGGTACGACCAATTTTCAGTACACAATGTCACGACTATTCCATAAATAAATGCATAGGAGGGGTGGAAGGCACCATTTCAGAAACCCCACCATCCTTCAATTTAAATATAAACTTATATCATTTGGCAACAATTATGAAGAAGGTTATTCCAACTTATATCAATTAGTCTCGTTGATGATTGATCAATATAAAAGTGGGCAAATTAAGGATAACCCCCACCACCATCCATTCATCACAGAAAGGGCCTCCCATCTCATGTTTATTTTGGAGTAGCCTTTACTTATCCAGAGACAAACAGGACCCATATTCATGAAACCGTTCCAATGTCAAGCATGAATTCTGTGCTCAAACCAACTTTCTTGTAAATTGCTAAGATTATTACAAACGATCTAAAAGACAAATGTAAACATTGAAAATAGCATTTGGCTTTAAGTTTCTGCAAAACGTTTCCAAATCATTGACAAAACAGATTTATGAAGTTATAACCAGAACAAGAAATTAGGCTTGAGCAAAAAATCCATTCTTGCCCTAGTGTGTTTATGTGCTATGGACTTTGTTTACAAACATGAATCACAGTATTCAAATACAGTTCATCAATGGGCTGTTATCATATATTTGCTTGACAAAATCCAGCATTTCAAATAAGGTACATTTTTACTTGTTACCGCTAAATGAAATTACAACATATGTCAAGAAATATCCTAGTCTATTATTCTGTATCAGACTTGTTCCAAGCATATCTTTTATTGGTATTGATTTTATTACAAACCTGAGCACAGGAGGCGTAGATACTGTCCATTAGCTTCTCCATGTTGGTCCACAGCAGTGCCCGGAATGCTGCCGTGTTCCCTGTAACAGGCATAGCAGCCTTGCCCGGCCCCCCTCCTACAACAAATATGGGACATGAATACTTGAAATGTGAAATTTACCAGTCAAAATCTAAGTCCAAGTAACTAATTTGTCAGTGTTTCAGTGGATAAAAAATATGTTTGAGATAAAATAATGTACCAAAGTAGCCCTGTGTGACTGACTTGACTACCCATTACTGAGTTTGTAGTCCTTTGATTAGCTATTCTCCTACCCTTGACTGAATTATCTCCTGTTTATAACCTGTTCAAAATGTCTCTGTCACCCCTAGGGTATGTTTTTTTGTCACCTCTAGGGTATGACAGGTTGCATACAGAAAGAAACAATTCTTTGACATCACAGGGGCAATCAGATATGATGTCATTATCGGCTCTTGATGGGAGAGGTCATGTGCAAACCAGGATAACAAACAGATTCCAAAAAATTAATGCTGAAAACTATTGTTTTTCAACAGAATGGAATGATGGGAGAAAAATAATCAAAACCTTGGGTAAGACAACCAAATAATTCACCCCTCGGGTTGGAGATTTCTCTGTCACACCCTTAAGATATAAGATGATTTAGTTAGACTTCTCTTTACTGAGACAAAATCTCTGTGATTACCTCTGGAGCCGATGGCTGAGGACTGCTGCTGACTGAGGGCCTGCATATCGAGACAGCTGCGGATGTTTTTGTGAAGCCCCTCTTTACAGCTTGTCACCACCCTGTCCACTGTGTGGTGCAGGCACCGCAGGTTGTGGAACACTTGAAGTGCGGTCGCCACCTGTGTTGGGTTCTGTGGAGCCAACACAAAACTTGTATGTCTAAACCATAACATGAAGCTTTTATCAAATAAGTATACTTTTACTGTTACATTATTTAGAGTATTTTACACTCTTTAAAATAGCTTTATTCAAGTTTCTCACAGGCCTTGCCTTTCACTTAAAACAGTTTTATATTTAAAACTCACTTAATGATTTTTTCATTCTTTTCCATTTTCAAAGCTGAATATTCACACTTATAACTGAAAGATCAAATCTATAACGATACATTATACAGGTGGCTGTGGAGAAGATTTTAATTTCCATAATAGTATGAACAGCAGATTCCACCTTTAACTATCTAGAAAACATATCCACATTCCTTAATATATCAAATATTCTATTTCTGGCTATTATGGTGATATTCAAAACACAAGTGGCATAAAGGACCTGTATTGCTTGTCTGGTCTATTATTAATACATTAGTAATATCTGTTGTAAAACACATTTGACTCCTGGCTGTCACATTGATTATCAGTTGATTTACATTATTAACTTAGTTGCCCTTTACATCTGCAAATAGCAGGCCAGACATTAGCCTAGGCATTTTGCTTATGGAATCAAAAAGAAGTTGTTTGACAATTGTAACATGTCTTACTCGTGTGACTTTGGAAGTCAAAGATTGTTTTTTTTAAACCAATAGCCCTTTACACAAGAAATCTACAGGCTGAATATCATTACTCCAAGCCTCATAGCTCTTCAGATGATGGTGTTTGAAAATATAAATCAAAGAGGAGTACACTTTAATCTATGCAATGCTAAATATAAATATCTATTGGTATTTATGTTCAAACCTGAGTCTCCAGTCCCTGGTCTAACATTTTCTGAGCCTGTGTTTCAACATCGTTCCTCGCTCCTCTGATAAATCTTCGGTCCTGTTCTATAATTTCTACGCCAGCAAAATCAACTCCCTCACATATGTAATCTACAAGGAACAAATAATGTAATGCTATATCAAACTACACACAATACTTCTTACAGCAAATCAATCATATGTCACAAGAATTTCTCATGAATTCCTGAGAATAACAAATTCAAATATCTTTCAAATATTCAATCAGAAAAAACTTACAAGGCACAAGTGTTTTTTTCTTAGTGATTTAAAGGAACTCTCTTTTTGGTTTTTATACTCAGAAACTAATCACATTTAAAGAAATAGACTACACCACTTTCATATCTAAAAGGTAACTTTATTTGGCTTGGTTAATTACCTGATGACACGTTAGACACAACTTAGACAGGTGTAAGAATACAAACAATGGTAACAGAAACAAGGTTACCGCAAGCGGTATATAATACGCCCGTCACACATTNAAGAAAGGTTACTCCAACATAAATCACAATATTATACACAAGGTGGCATACAGCCTTAAATGATGAAACAAGTTCTAAATAATGCTATATTCTTAATTTCAAAAGAAACTGCTTTGTCTTTTAAATCAAAGTCTTAGTAAGTTGCTTGCAAAACCAATACAGATTGTTTTTAAGTAGCAACTGTAATTGGATCTCAACAGAGAATCACAGGACTAAAACACAAATGTATGATTTTGAGGGATTATTCTGGCATGGTTTCAAAATCATCTGTATTTAAATTTCTATTCGTGATGTACCCAGTTCATTAAGACTCTGTGCTGCCTTGGTTATCTCCCTTGCCCCTCCCTGTAGCTGGCTGTGTAGACGTTTACTGAGGTACATGATACGGATTATCCTCCTTAGTAAGTCACAGGTTTCCTACAACATCAAACATACAAACAGAAGTCACATCAACAGTACTGAGGAGTTTATATAGAAACACTTGGAAGTTCTGTTGTCACTTTTAAAAGATCAGATATCACTACATGTAGTCTTTACCCAATCTGATGAGGTATTTGACATATAAATCTCACAGGAACTTATCATGACAGAATACAAAAATAAAAGAAACAATTTGTTCAGAGATTATTGCTTGAATTTTTATCATGAGTCACAGCAAAAAAAATAATTAAGATTCCTCCAGTCTCATTCAAAATTAAAGTGTTGTATTACAATTTTTTTGAGTTCCAGGCAGAAAACCGGAGTCCTAGACTTTTAATTTCGCAAAAATCACAGCTGTTGAAAAATTATTTGGAGTTTTATATACCTTTATACAGCGAGACCTTGTTATATTACTCCCATTGGTCTGAATTAAGTCTGGTGAATTTTGACAATATAACAAGGGAAATGCATTAATGAATTAAAAAAAAATAGTGGGCCTTGAATGTAGCAAAAGAAATGAATGATGTTTTACAGCATATACATATATATATACTGGTCACCAGATTCTTACTTGTAAATTTCTCAGTTGCGTTGTTCTTGCTGATATCTTGTTGAATGGTTCTGAAACCTTTGTTCTGACCCTTGAATGGTAAGAGTAAACATAATTTGAATTCATTGAATATTTACCATAATACTGTATACTGGATAAACTTTCACAGTCAAATACTCGCCCTTCACTAGCAAAATCCATATTTTCCCAGTGTTAAGTTCACCCTTCACTAGCAAAATCACTATTTTCCCAGTGTTAAGTTCACCCTTCACTAGCAAAATCCCTATTTTCCCAGTGTTAAGTTCGCCCTTCACTAACAAAATCCCTATTTTCCCAGTGTTAAGTTCCCCCTTCACTTCATTAAATCAGATATGCTGTGTTCTGATATTTGCTGTCAGGATAAAAGCGCCCTCATTGCAAATAGCAAAAAGGGTGGAGGTTAACACCGTGATGCCCCTTTAACAAAAAGGGTGGAAGTTAACACCGTGATGCCCCTTTAACAGGGTGGAAGTTAACAGTGTGATGCCCCTTTAACAGGGTGGAGGTTAACACCGTGATGCACCTTTAACAGGGTGGAAGTTAACACCGTGATGCCCCTTTAACAGGGTGGAAGTTAACACCGTGATGCCCCTTTAACAGTTATAGGAATAGTTTTATCTTGTATAGACTACAGAATGGATCATGATTTTAACAGGAAGCGTCGATGTTAACATGTAAATATCTTTGTCAGGCAGTTTTTCAAAAAGCTAAAATTCAGTGTGAAAAATTCTCTGTGGTATATTCAGATCAGTAGGTGATTAGAACATCTTTACTCCTGTAATCTAAATGATTTAATCATAGATTGCTTAATAGATTAATTAGTATATCTTCACCCTGTAAAACCATACAATATCATGTCTACTGTTACAGATTAGTAGGTGATTAGAACATCTTTACTCCTGTAATCTTAACGATTTTATCATAGATTGATTAATAGATTAATTAATAGATTAATTAGTATATCTTCACCCTGTAAAACCATACAATAACATGTTTACTGTTACAGATTAGTAGGTGATTAGAACATCTTTACTCCTGTAATCTAAACGATTTTATCATAGATTTAATCATAGATTGATTAATAGATTAATTAGTATATCTTCACCCTGTAAAACCATACATTATCATGTCTACTGTTACATACATAATGCAATACCATCATTAACAACCGACCTGTCCATGGCAGCCAGCAGGGATTGTATCCGTGTCTGCATCATCTGTAACACTCCTGAAACAGTAGAGGTAGTGACACCTAAATATACCTTCAGCAACTGTGTAATTCACTTAGGGACCAGCTTAAGTGCAGATGTCTTGAACACCAAAAACCTGAATGCGTTAAGGGTCAGCTTAATGAAAAAAGGAAATTGTGCTCTCTTTCTACTAGCCTCCACATTGCTTTTTAAACTTCTATATTTGTAGAAATTCTTTTAACTAGACCTTGTTAGTATTTCCAATTTTTTACTAGAATTTACTAATGCTATTTTTTAGTGTATATATCCATTATCAAAGGTTAGCAAGGTTGCCTTGTCACCTAAGTAATATTGACATTTTTTATCCTTACTGGTATAGCTATAAATAACTGTCAATAGTTCAGTATTTTTAACACTGTGCAACCAGAACTGCAATCAAATGCTATCAGGCAACACCACTAGCTCTACCAGCTATCTTTGTTGCAGTATTATAATGTTTGCACATTGTAAAAAAACCTGAAAGAAGAATTTTGAAACTAAATATTAAAAGTATATACCTTCCAGTGTTTCCACTCCTGTTGCCTGTGAAAGCAAGTCATCATGGCGAGCAACGATCTGAAATGAAACAACACTTTATTAATGCACACAATATATGATAAATATAATAGAAACAAAATTAGTTTTACACAATATTTCTTTATGCATAGCTGTGTATAATCATCTGTTTTCAAAAATTATATTTTGGTTATTACTTAAGTTTTCATTTACAACACCTTCTCTTGGTTACTGATTTATACCAAGCAGCAACTGAGATTTATCCAGGACTTGTGCACTACTACAATATGTATACAATACCTGTGAATGAATTTCCCTATCGAGTAGTGATATTCCTTCAGCTAATTTAGATAGCTGTTCTGCAATCGCCTGTCCCTGGATAGCTTTGTTGGCATATCCCTTCACATCAAATGTTGCATCCAGGAACTGACTAAAAACATCTGTAAAATAAAAGATATGCAAATGATTAACATCGTATTTCAGTGAATACCCAGCTACATTTTTTGAATAAACAAATTCATTATGAACCATCATGGATAATACATAGGGTATAACAATGGTCAATACGGAAGAAATAAGAAAAAATAAGTAAATGAGACGGGTCTGCGGACACGTCTCATTAGTGTATTTTCTTGAGAACTATTGGTATAAAAATTTAAGTAGGGACAGTTAGAATTATTTAATGTAGTCTAAACCCACTTATGCCACAACGTGTCTTAATTGTTAAATATTTTCTGTGTCGGGTAAAATATAATAAATGTTAAGTTTATTTCCATATGTTATTGTCACCAGTCGTCTATGTATCTATATTATTTGTCAACACTGGAATCTGCAAGCAATAGTGTAAAGTGACGGGTCACGGCGACGCGACACTGGTCACCTGTTTACGTTTGTTACAATAGTGTAAAGTGACGGGTCACGGCAGCGCGACACTGGTCACCTATTTACGCTTGTTACAATAGTGTAGAGTGACGGGTCACAGCGGCGCGACACTGGTCACCTGTTTACGTTTGTTACAATAGACAATAGTGTAATGTGGTTGAAAAACAGGATAATTTTCATATGCATCCTTTTTTATTTTAATATTACATAGTATGATAGTTATCAGCTGGTTATTGATGCTTATTGTATAACTGTTTGATTCCTTTTTCATAAAATGGTTTTATTTGTTAATTCCTTTGACATGGAATGACATGGAAATGCTAGGCCATGGTAAGTAGATGCTCTATGTCTGACGGGATAGTCCCAACTTCAACAAGCAATTGATATTTATATAAATAAAATATATAAATATATAAAAAATACATTTAAATATCGATTATTATATAAGCGTATAACCCAGAGCGAATGGGATTTAGGGCGAAGCAACCCGTTACCTACTGCTATAACATAAGAGGCCACTGGTCGGCCTTTTTTCTATCGGATATGATTTTGCTGATTCGCTTGTCAAAAGTATCACGCCTTGTACCTGTTACCGAGCCTGACCCGAGTGTAGCACACTGGACTTCTCCAAGAGCCTGTACGTTTATGTGGAACAACCGGTTTGACCGTTTATAAATGTAACAATTTTTGGTATAAATCCTGGCGGACCTGCAAATGTTTATGCAGGCCTTTGCAAGGCTTTGTCAAGGCTCACTTGAAAGTAGCATCAAATTACTAGGTCCGACCTTATTTAATAAACCAACAACTGTAGTCTTACTGGTTTAAACGAAAACGGCCCAACAGACTTCAGGGGTCGACACTTACACTAGTCGGCTAGTCCTGGACTAGTAGATTTCAGCATTAGGACTAGTGGAACATCTAACCTAACGGGTCCTTTGGACTTGTGAAAAATGTCGTTATAAAATAAAGGTATTCCTTTTTAAAATTTAGATAACTGCTTAAAATAAGATATATTGCATGAAAATTGTCAAAATTTCCTAAAACCATATTTCTATGGCAGTTGTTATTATAAGTCCCCTACAGTCAAATACTTGTGGTGTTTTGTGCTGTAGATTGCGATGTTTCCTTGTCAGAAAATCTTGTACTAGTTACATGACGAAGGACTAGTAAATAATCTATTCAACTAGTCCTGTGGACTACCAAGCCAAAAATAGTTAGTGTCTAACCCTGACAGTGTTTGAGGTTTACACGGCGTGATGTTGCAGTCGGCAAAATCATATCTACACCACTGGACCAGATAAATCTATACAGTTCACCATTTGGTTTGAAGAATAACCCCTCTTATGTAACTGCATTTCAAAAACTGATCATATACAGTTAAAATCAACGCTATATCTTTTTTGAATATGTTATATTCGATGCGAACGCTCATTTTTTACCGTCCGATTGGAGTTGTTGCAGCAACTTGTCGTCCATGTTGGATTTATCTACTTCCGCTTTGCAACGTTGCCTACGAAGCGATGGCAAAAAACAAAAACAAGACGTATATCTTATCAATTAGCAAATATATAACATGTCACTTATATTGTTATTCGACTGTATGTCATAAATCGTAAAATAGTAGAAAACACGACATATATATTTTACGAAACTAAAGTCATGTAATCTGTATCTGTTTACTTCCGCTTCCAAAAAACACGTGCAGTAGGTTGTCATTTCTGTATTGATGAGGACATTTGTTACAAGAGGAGGGATTACCAACAAATCAGATATGAGCATTCACAATGATGGATTTCCCATAACTCAATTGGGATAAATCAAAATATGTTGAATTTGTTTTAGATCTGACAAAACAAAGCATACAAATACTGGATTTTAGTTTGAAGATTGACAATTAACAGTTACTGTTAATACTTAGTCCACTAACATGACATCAGGAGACGGATGTCATGTCTGGAGGAAGCCATTAGAACTATTTGAAGACCAAGAAAGAAACGTGAAAATATGTGCTCCTATGGTCCGATATTCAAAGTAAGTTTGTTGAACCACGGACTTAGATCTATTCTAATTCCGTGGTTGAACACTGTAGTTGACTATATACAGTATATATATAGCCAGCTCCTCGAGCTCTTGAAAATAATAATTTGGGAGATGTCAAGATTTTTTAAAGTCAATTATTTAGAACTTGTCAGTTTAGGTTTATTTTGATAGGGTCATCATTTTCCTTCAAAATGAATATAGATGGGGCAGTTTGGTAGTCGTTCACAGCACACTGTCAACTAAAAAGGGGACAGACTTAAATTGATAATTATTTCATCACCGGGCAGGGTCTTTGAAATGGTCAAGTGAGGAATATTGTTTATTCCTTGCGAGTTTACTTACCTGATTTGATTTAAATATAATGTGAGTCAGAAACCTTGAAAGGTACCTGGAGTCTGTTTACATTTTGGTACTAAGTTTAAAAACAGCAATTAAAATATAAGCTAGTCTTTTTTGGGTTCACTGATGTCAGCAATATGAGACGAGAAGCTTTATTGGTCCGATTGAGTATGAGACAACTACAAACAGTCATTTTTTCTATACTTACAAGTATCAATTCCAGTAGTATGTTGCTATTGTCAGATTTGGTGTTACAGGTTGAAACAATCCAGGTAGCATATCATATTAAACGAATGCACCTTGAATGCCCGCCCGCCCCCAACAGGACCAACTCAGTCTGAAGGAAATACCTTTCAAAATACTGACTAACTATTTAACCATTTACATACATTTATATACCCGATACAGCTTTCATAGGAGAGGGAAATGCATTACCCCTCGAGCCTCCATAATAATTGCAACTTTCCTTGACATTTGATAATAAAAATAACTGACATGATAAGACTTCGCAGGCCTGTACCTCTTGTTGACAACAGTTGAAAGGTATGATATAAGAAGACTATAGATTTCAATGATAACCATCTGTAGTGTGGAGGTTGGGGCCAAATATTAGTCTAGCCCTGTTGCTTTTTTCCTTTTTTGTTACAAATATGTGTTAGCAGAGCTATTATGGTAAATAATTGAGTGGGTTAGTAGTTATGTCTCCCCTTCGAATGAAGGAAGACATATTGTATTAGAACTGGTTCTTCTTCTGGTTCTCATTATCAAACTTGTCCGGGCCATAACTTTTAAACAGTTAAAGATATCTTGATGAAAGTTTAGGTATGCATGCATCACCGAAAGGAGGTGTGCAGTACACTGGAATTAGGTCACTGTGACCTTCACCTCAAGATCAAAGGTCAAATAACTGCACATTTTCAGTAAATTTTTGTCCGGCTCGTAAATTTCAAACCATTAAAGTTATCTTGATCAAGCTTGAACTATATCTGCATCACCCACAGAAGGTGTGAAGTGCAATTTAATTAGGTCTCATGCTTGACTATATACAGAGTTATGGCCCTTTGTTTAATTTTAATGCGGAAGTTTGTCCGAAGCATAAGTTCCATATTATTTTTCACCTACGTTGACCATACTTATCATATTTATATATATTGGGAAGGCTAAAACACACTAAAATCAGGTTTTGTGCCCCACTATATACAGAGTTATGGCCCTTGTTTATTTTTAATACCGAAGTTTGTCTACAGCATAACATCTAAACCACTGAAGATATCTTAATCAAACTTAAAGTATACCTGCATCACTCACAGAAGGTGTGCAGCGCACTGGAATTAGGTCTCATGCATCACTATATACAGAGTTATGGCCCTTTGTTTAATTTTGATACCGAAGTTTGTCCACATAACTTCCATGTTATTTCACCTACGTTGACCAAACTTGCTAAAGTTTAATTTATCTTGGGAAGTAGGAGTGTTGCATTCTAAATTCAGGTCTCGTGCCCCAATATATAAAGCGAAATGGCCCTCTTTTTTTCTTATACCAGAGTTTTTCTATTGGCTGTTGATTCAATCAATCTGTTACTGTACATGTTGATTTTGAAAACTTTTGATAGCCCAACCAATTTTTTTATTGTACAGTAGCCCTAACTTAATGTCTGGGGCTGTCGAGCTAGGCGAATTGTACATCCTTGCTTCTTAGTATTCATTTGACACATGACACATACAAGAGTCAATGCAAGAGCTCCATGGAATTATTGCAGAATACCAAAATTGTCAAAAATAAAGATGTTGATAAAACAATATAATAAGTGAAACAGAATTATGGTAAATAGTTTTAACATTTTGTTGTTTTTGTTGCAGATTGCCATTTCGTATGCTTGTGAGAAAATATGGCTGTGATTTAGCGTTCACACCAATGATCTTATCAGACTGCTTTGTAAAATCTGTAAAAGCCAGAGATAGTGAATTTACCACTTGTAAAGGTAAGATATGTAATAAACTGAGTCAACATAAAGTGTCATGCCGCCATTGAATAAATATTCATCAATTGATGAATCTCATTTATATGTATATGGAAATTACTAAAATATAATTTAGACATACTCTACAAATTTATCTACCTGGTTACTTGCAATCAACTGTTAAAGTCTAAATCAATTACTTTGTGACATTTTTCTGAAATTAAAACTTTTAGCAAATACCTGGTAATATTATAATCCCTTCACTTTGTAAGTGTTCAATTTATCTGTACAAGTTTTAGGACTAACAACCTCTAAACACCTTTAATTAGTGACCATGGCCAGCTGGCTCCTAGGTTTATTGGTTACATAAATTAATTTTGTATTTTGATAGCCAAGAATCCTCAAATATGTATTGGATCCTAAAGAAAATCATAAAACCCTTACTAAGTCATTAAGGTCTGGTAAAAAACAAAATGGATATTTTATTTTTCTGTTACAGAGGACCGTCCACTTGTGGTACAGTTTGCGGCGAGCAATGCTCAGGATCTTGCAGATGCGGCAGAGATTATAGCTCCGTAATATCACATTATCTTTAAATGTATCATTCAGACATGCGTGTTTTATTGATAAACATTCATCTTAGACATTGGACCCAAGTACTCACAACTTACTTTTAAAATATTTAGAGAAGTCTTCAGGTAAAATTAGGCTCAAGGTTTCTTACCCAATGAAAACAAAATAGATAGTCTAAAAATATAAATGTAGTTGGAAAACTTAAAATTGCCTATCTACAAAATTTATTTGGGAAATATTGATTCATCCTTGTGAATGAAATCTCAAACCAGTCAGAATCGAAATACAAGCTTTTGTAAAGACATTGCAAAGAAAAAGAAAGATATTTATCTAAAGTGAATGATTGATAATTTAAATAGAAATAGTGATTTATAACACTATTGCACTAGTTTTACTATTGCTATATACTGTATCAAAACTATTGCAAAAAGAATTGGTAAATATGCACTATATTTTCAAAGCATCATCGAATCAACAAAAAAAAAGGTTTTATATTCCCCCCTCAGTATTTCATTTTAACATTGTGAATAAGTAGTTATTGTCATCATAAATATAGAAATGAAAAATAACAAAGATCAGAAATGTAATAACTATTGAAAATTATTATTGAATCTATAAACTTTCCATTGGTGCATCACCTTGGGAGGTGAACTGCTGCAATCTAGCAACTTTATTTTCTAATCCTTACTGTAGATGTAGTTTATTACTCAAATATAAGTTCTGGTGTTGTAATTTCAGGTATGCAGATGGAGTTGACCTGAACTGTGGATGCCCACAAAGGTAAGAGTTGTCTCCCATGGAACATATTACCTCATTTGCCCTAGCTTGGTATTGTGTAAAAACGTTAAAAAAAAGTGGTATAGCAGCTCCAGAATCCTGGTTTCAGTAAAGTATATTCTTCTTTTTCCAAGCTGGTTCTTGGGGATCTTCATTTCTAAATTATTTCATGATTATGTTATGGTTTCATTTCTAAATGAGAATGTGAACCTTCACACTCCAGTACCTGTTAAAGAATAATCTTCATAATTGGGGCAAGTACAAGCAAAGATTTATAATGGAACCAGTTTGTCACAACCCTTCAGATTCAAAAGGTGTATTTCAGTATAAGTTTGAATTAGTATACCCTGCAACGAAGTTAGAGGGGGTATACTGGAATCACCCTGTCTGGATGTCTGGATGTCTGGATGTCTGTCGTCCACTTTAACTTGTCTGGAAAACTCCTCCTTAATTAACAGGTGGATTTCATTGAAACTTTGCATGAATGATCAGTATTTTATGTAGTTGTGCACCGGCATTTTAATTTGGGATTTCAACCCTTTTTGATGGAGTAATACACCTTTTTGAGAAATACTTGTCCGGAAAACTCCTCCTTAATTAACTGGTGGATTTCATTGAAACTTTGCATGAATGATCAGTATCTTATGTAGTTGTGCACCGGCATTTTAATTTGGGATTTCGACCCTTTTT